TCCACATTTTAGTTATCGTAAATAATACCGCTATGAATATGGGTGTATAAGTATCTCTTTGAGGCCTTGCTCTCAATTATTTTTGGGTCCATAACCAGGGTGGAATTGTTGGGTCATATGGTAATTCTATTCTAATTCACTTTTGGAGAAACCTCCATATGTGTCCACAGTAGTTATACCATTTTATGTTCCCACCAATGCTGCACAAGGGGTCCAGTTTCTACACATCTTTGCCAACACTTGTTATTTTCTGGGATTTTTTTTTTTATAGCAGTCATTCTAATGGGTGTGAGGTGGTATCTCATTGTAACTTTGATTTTCATTTCCGTAATATTAGTGATGTTGAGCACCTTTCCATGTGCTTATTGGCCATTTGTAGATCTTCTTAGAAAAAGTGTCCATCCAAGTTTTTTTGCCCAATTTTGAATTGGGTTGTTTGTTTTTGTTGTTGAGTTTTAGAAATTCTCTGTATATTTTGGATGGTAATCCTTTATCAGATTGCAAATATTTTCTTCCTTTCTATGGGTTGCTTTTTTACTCTGTTGTTAGTATCTTTTGTTGCACAGAATTTAAAAATTTTCCTGAAGTCCAATTTGTCCATTTTTTCTTTTGTTGCCTGTGCCTTCAATGTTATATCCAAGATATCATTGCCAAATCCTACATTGGAAAGCTTTTTCCCTGTTTTCTTTTGAGTTTTATAGTTTTAGATCTTACATATAGATCATGGATCCATTTGAAGTTAATTTTTATATAGGGTGTTAGGTAAAGTCCCAACTTGATTCTTTTGCATGTCTAGTTTTCTCAACACCTTTTGTTAAAAAGACTGTCCTTTTTCCACTAATGACCTTGGCCCCCTTGCCTAAAACCATTTGACCACATATATAAGGTTTTATTTCTGGACTCTCTATTCTATTACATTTGTCTATACATCTGTCTTTATGCCAGGATTATACCCATTTGATTACTATAGCCTTGTAGTAAGTTTTAAAATCAGTAAGTGGGAGTCTTCCAGCTTTGTTCTTTTTAAAGATTGTTTTGGCTATTTGGGGTTCCTTGAGATCCCATATGAATTCTAGCATGGCTTTTTCCATTTCTTCAAAAAATATCCTTGGAATTTTGATGGGGATTGCACTGAATCTATAGATTGCTTTGGGTAGTATTGACATCTTAATAATATTAAGTCTTCCAATCCATGAACATGAGATGTCTATTTATTTATGTCTTCTCTAATTTATTTCAGCAAATTTTGTGGTTTTCACTGTATAAATCTTTCACTTGCTTGGTTAAGTCAGTTCCTGAGTATTTTATTCTTTTTGGTGCTGTTGTAAATTAAATTGTTTTCTTAATTTCCTCTTTGGACTGTTCATTGTTACTGTATAGGAATGCAACTGATTTTTGTGTGTTGACTTTGTATGCAGTTACTTTGCTGAATTTATTAGTTCTAACAATTTTTTAATGGAATTTTTAGTGTTTTCTACATATAAGATCACATCATCTGTGAACAGAGATAATTTTACTTCTTCCCTTCCAATTTAAATGCCTTTTATTTCTTTTTCTTGTCAAATTGCTTTGGCTAGAACGTCCAGCATTGTGTTAAACAGAAATGGTGAAAGCAGGCATCCTTGCTGTCCCTACTCCCATTTTTTTTTTTTTTTTTTTGAGAAAGAGTCTCTCTCTGTCACCCTAAGCTAGAGTGTGGCAACATCATCGTAATTCACTGCAACCTCAAACTCCTGGGCTCAAGCCATCTAACTGCCTCAGCCTCCCAAGTAGCTGGGACTACAGACATGTGCCACGACACTCAGCTAATTTTTTCCATTTTTAGTGGAGACGGGGGTCTCACTCTTGCTGAGGCTGGTCTGGAACTCCTGAGCTCAAGCGATCCTCCCACCTCAACCTCCCAGAGTGCTAGTATTATAGGCGTGAGCCACTGTGCCCCGCACAACCTAGGACTTAATGGACAGCTCTTGACAGATTCCTATGAAATGGGCAGACGTGTGTACAGCCACCGTGACCATGGGCACTGACTTTCATTCATCTGCTCCAAAGACAATTACTGAGAGCTGCTCTCTATGCGTGCGAGCCTCAGGAAGGCTTTTGCCTTGCGCTTGGAGCAGACCCTTATCGGAGTCAGCAATGGGCAAATCGCTGGCTGGCAAGGAGAGTGACTCTCCTCAAAGGGGTTCTGGTGTCTGACACAGTCTCCACCCTCCTCTGCATTCTCAGGTCAGTGGTGGAAAGGGGGCAGATTTTTCAAGCCGAGGCATACTGTTAAGTAGAAAAAGCAGTTGCAGAGCAAGGTGTACAGTGTGATTATATTTCTACATATGCTTTGGGATAAAAGCAGGAGAATATACACCAAACCGGTCATGGTGTTTTGTTCTAGGTTATTGGATTATGGGGGATTTTCACTTTCTCACACATTTTTGTAGGGTTTGAAATGTTTGCATCATGCACATTCTTTTGTAATCAGAAAAATAATCATGATTAAAACAGACAAAACAGGAGACATAAGATTTAAGGAATTTCACCAAATGTCCACGTAAGACTCTGAACTTGAATCTAAGCAAATCAGCATTGATGATGTTACTTACCTGCCATGCTAATTTGTAAACTCCAGGAAGTCAAGGGCCATGATTGCCTTAGATACTTCCATAGCCCCAGAATTTAGAAAAAGTGTTGTGCCAGGCCAGGGGTCAGCAAACTATAAACTACTGTAAAAGATAGTGAATATTTAGGCTTTTGGGGCCAAGAAGCAACATCAAATATATCATGTAGATACTTGTATGACAAGAGAGAAAACCAATTTCCACATATTTTTGACTGATAAAATATAATTGAGTACAATTTTTTTGTAATACAGGTCTATGAATGACAAGAATGAAAGTCTTTGGAGGGAATAACATTTTACTTAATTGAGGTTCGAACTTAGGGTAGTCTACCATCAAAATCAGTTGCAAATGTTTTATTTCTTTTTAACCACTTAAAAATGTAAAAGCAGGGCTGGGAGCGGTGGCTCACACCTGTAATCCTAGCACTCTGGGAGGACAAGGCCGAAGGATTGCTCAAGATCAGGAGTTCAAGGCCAGCCTGAGCAAGAGCGCCATCTCTACTAAAAATAGAAAGAGATTAATTGGCCAACTAAAAATATATAGGAAAAATTAGCCGGGCATGGTGGTGCATGCCTGTAGTCCCAGCTACTCAGGAGGCTGAAGGCAGAAGGATCGCTTGAGCCCAGGAGTTTGAGGTTTCTGTGAGCTAGGCTGACGCCACGGCACTCTAGTCTGGGCAACAGAGTTAGACTCTGTCTCAAAAAAAAAGTAAAAGCAGTTTTATGCTACAGGCTGTACAAGGCAGCTGGTCAGGGTGGGCTCACCGAGGCTATAGTTTGCTGGCCCCTGAGCAATCAATGCATTTTTAGTTAAATGAATGGAAGCGGGAAGAAAGGAAGATAAAGTCTCTCTATCTGGGAACATCTGTCAATAGACATACCAAGCCTCTTGAGTATGAGATCAGTAATTTCTTAGGTTAAGAGGCGGTAATAGCACTCCTGCTACTCCTGAATAAAGAGTGCACAGCTTCAGCGAGGGAAAGAGCACGTCTGAGATGAATTAGGTTTGGAGAAGGGAGCCCTCTGTGGGGGTAGGTGGGCTCTGAATGACAGCAGGGAACACGTGCTGCTCCTGGCAAAGGCCCGGCCTACAGAGGGGCCCGGTGGAGTTCACCGCTCTTTCTCTCCAAGAGCAGGGTGAGCACCTGCCCCTCTTGCCACAGCCGGCCCTGCCTGGCTCTGCAGTCAGGGTGCTGTTCAGAGGCTGTCCGGGATGGTGACAGGGAGCCGGGCAGGTGGCACAGCAGAGACAGGACAGGGAGGTGACACACGTGGCAGTGACCATGCCACCCTGGGCTGGTGCAGTCCCTCGGCCTGCCTTCCTGTCTCATGCAGGGCTGGCCTGCAGCTCAGGGCTCACTGCAGACCTGAGGCAGTGAAAGCCCGGAAGCCAATCTCACATGGGTATGGAGCTGCAGTTACCTTCAGAACAAAGAGAAAAGTGTCTCTGTTCCTCTGAGCCATTTCTCCTCCGCTGCCCTTGGCATCCTGAGCCCAGGGAGAGGGGAGGCTATTTTGCTGGGAGGGGCGGGGAAAACATTCCCATTCAAGGGAAGCCCCAGCTCAGACGCTCAGCTGAGCCAGGCACGGTCAGCTGCACGGGCTCTCTCCATCATTCCACAAGTGCCCCTAGAGGACGCACAAGCTGGTCGTTTCAGGAAGCTCCTGAGATCACAGTCGGTTCCGGGAGTGGGAGTGAATGGGCAGGGTCGGCCCTGGGAAGAGAGCTGCAGCGGGCCCAGTAGGCCGTGCCAGGCTGGCTAAGAGCCTCACGGTTCAGAGACGTCGCAGAGAAAGCATGAAGGGCGCTGTGTGGCCAGGGCCCGGAGAAGCAGCCATGGAGGAGAAAGAGTTCAGGAAGAGGTGCAGCAAGGACCCGCCAGGAAATGGTGTGACCACCGCCCCAGCCCCAGAGCACCGGGCAGAGGTGGCTAGTGGTGGGGGCCAGAGCTGGGGCTCTGGGTGCACACTCCCGGCTCTGCCCCCAGCTCCAACAAGCCCCTTACCTTAAGGGCCTCTTCAACTTAACTACAAAACAAATGACCTCTTAGGGGTGTGAGGTTTGATTACAAATGAATAAAAATGACCCTGGCGCATTTTGAGTACTCAATCAATGCTACTTATTATTGGCCACATTAACAGCAATGACCTTGGGAGGAACTCTGGAGAAAGACTAGGGCAGAGCGAAGGCCTGTTGCTGTCCTGTAGGAGCAGCCAGAGGCCACTCGAGAGCCTCGTGACATTCACTCGAGCTCCACCTTTCGATCCTGGCACGGAAATCACTGCTGGAATCTGCTTGGAAGCCCTCCCACCACATGACCCTGCTGGAGGGGACCTTCAATGCCCCCATTATTCCCTGCCGCCAAGGAAGTTAGAAGCTGACTGCACATTTTAGTACAAGTGGTTTATTTCTCTTCCGGGTGAGGGAGCACATGTATCAAGCAGAGGTTTGCCCCCCTGACTCCTTCAGGAACCCCCGAGGAATTTTAGTTTAGTTTCCATGCATTAAAAACAACCCTCTAGTTGCCGATAACGAAACCTTAAGAAGCAACACCTTGACGTCGCAGGGTCCCTATCTGCCCGTGACGTGGACATACCAAGGTGTGTTCACGGTACGCGGTATGTACAGGTTAATGCAGGTGAGACACGGTGAGACCCGGCTGCCCTGTGGCCCCATTCTGTCGTGGAGTCTTGGCTGGGGGGCTGAGAACCATTCTGCCGTTGACAAAGTGGCTCTTCCAAAACGGAAACAGAGCCCTCGTCCCGAGCCAAGCCGCCCCACGCCCCTGCTTTGCCGTGCAAGGCCGTGGGGGCTTCAGCGCCGTGCACGTTGGGTTGGCAGGAGGTTGGAAGCACCGAAGACCCCAACCCTGTCCCCTCAATAGGCAGGATGGTGGGTCGTTATTTCCTCCTGGCCAACAAGCTCTGGCGCCTGGCAGGGGCTGGGGTGAGGACAGGGGCTGGGGGCGGCAGGGAGGAGGCCTGTCCTCACATCAAGACACCATGATGCCGCTTTGCTAAAACCTTTTCTGACAAACTTGCAGGAGGACAACAGGGAGGGCACAGTTGGGAGTGAGCATCAGCTGGTCCCTGGGACAGAGGACTCTGTTCAACTTTCCCTCTTTAAGATCCTCCCTCCCTGGGTGGCTGAGCCCAGATCCCCGTCAAACAGCAGCTTGGGACAGGCCGTCTCACTGGCATTTATTTTATTTAAAAACCCACTCTTCCCTGTCTCCTCTGGATTTGTAAAGAACTGGCCGGTGCCAGCAAAATCTGTCCAAGCAGTGCTACCAGTATAAAAACCAGGTGTCAGGAATGAGCCCTGAGTCTGCTGTAAAAACTGGATGCACTATGAGTTTCAATTCTTTGGATAATCAAAATGTTTAAAACACTGGAAAAAAAAAAGGTTAGTATTGCTTTCCAAGTGTCTGTTCATACCTGAGACTGTCCCTGTCTGCAGCTAATAAGCTTGCAGTTTTGTTTCCACAGTGGAGGTGGGGCTTTTACCCCTGTCCCTACCTGGGTCCCCAGGGTGGGCTGTGGCCCCCCCCTCCCCCATGCCCAAGCCACCAGCCTCCCCTGCAGACCTCCCTCTCCTGATGCCTTCCCTCTGTGGCCTAGGAAGAGCCTGCCTGGCCCTGGGAACTCTGATTTGGACTGTTCTGGTCTCATTGGGCATGTCACCTCCCTTAAAAAGCATCTCCTGATCAGCCCTCCCCACTGTCACCTGCAGGGAACTAGGGCAGAGAGGTGACTCTGAAAATGAGATCGGTGCTAACAAGAGGCACAGTCCCAGCAGTGGGACACACAGCTCCCCATGGTGGCACCTGACTCTGTCCTTCTTTCCTGCCGGGCCCCTCCTGGTGAGGGTGGGGTACAGGGGTGAGCCGAGCCAGGCAGCCAGCTTAGGGACGGCACCTGGTACCTCCGAGGCAGCCAAACACGGGGGCAGTTCCTGGGGTGGGGGGCAGGCAGAAGAGAGGCTGGAGCAAGTGGTGGGTCTTCTGTCCCCCTGGGGCTTTGGTCGGGAATCTCAGTCACCCTCTGCAGGGGCCTGCCAGTCTCCAGATGCCTTTGGTTTCTCTTAAAGAAACGCAGCGTGTATTTGCATTAATTAAAAACCAAAACGGAAAACGGAGGCAGGAAGCCCTGAAAGTCTGTTAGGCTGGAAACTCATTTCCGTAGTGCCTCAGGTGTTCATCCGCCACAGACAGGTAGGTGGCCCTCATGCTGGGAGAGTACTGCGGGCAGAAAGGAGAGGGGGTGGTCAGAGCAGGGCCAGCCACGGCGGCCAGGTACGGCGTCATAATCACGTGGTGTCACCGGGATGCGGGTGCCTGGCGACGGCTCTAGCCCCACATCCATCGGGATGCAGTGGCTCCAGCCTCACACACAAAATGCACGCACAGACCAGCCGTTCTCCCTCCACCGCGCCCATTCCAGTGCACAGCCGGGGAACCCGGCCTGTCACCTCACACTGGGGACAGCGGCAGGGTGCACCAGTGCACCGAGGAACTGCCAGCAGCAAGCATGCCCAGGGCAGGGGCCCACAGACTCAGAGAGCCAGGTCCACGTCCCAGCTGTGCAAATTCCTCGCCCTGTGACCTTGGCTGAGGTTCTCCAACCTCTCCTTGCCTCAGTATCCCCATCTGCAAAATGGACCTACGAGTACTCACTTTTACGTTGAAAGGGTGAAATGACTTGAAGCAGGCAAGACGCTAACACAGAGGTTCTCAAACACGGCTGTGCATCAGCAACGCCTGAGGAGCCCCAAAACCCCAATGCCTGGGCCGCACCCGCCAGTGTGTGTACATAGCAAGGCAAAATGCACACAACATCAAACTAAGCATTATTAAAGTGCTACCAGTGTCTTTTAGAGCACTTTAGGCAATTCCTGCGTGCAGCCACTCAGAGCAGCGGTGACACGGCACAAAGTTGAGTGGGGCTTCTCACACTGTCCCCTGCATACAAACCACCTGGGGACCTTGTCCACGCAACTGAGATTCTGCATTTCTACGAACTTCCAGATGCCGCTTGTGTCCTGGCCCCCCGGGAAGTCTCAGGGGTCCCTGCCATTCACAAATGCTCCCACCTGGCTGGGCTGGGGGAGGCGGGGGTGTGAGGCTCTTCCACCCAGTGGGTCTCCACCAGGCGTGGTTTTGTCTGCCAGGGACATGTGACAATGTCTGGAGGCATTCTGGTGGCCACAACCGGGAGTAGGGGGTGGGATGCCATTGGCTTCTAGTGGCAAAGGCCAGGGCTCTGCTAAATGTCCTACCAGGCATAGGACAGCCCTGTGCAGAGAGTGATGGTGACAGTGAGGAAGGCTCAGGGCAGGGGTTCCCCAAGGGCGGGGTCCAGGCCAGCAGCATCGGCCTTACCTGGGAACAGGTTACAAACACGAACCCCCGGGCCCCAGCCCAGATTTTCTGAATCAGAACGAGGAGCCTGTGTTTTAACAAATCCCTCCCGATTCAGATGCACATGTGGGGATGAGATCCTCCTCCTTATTTATTTATTTATTTAGAGACAGAGTCTCACTCTGTTGCCCCGGCTGTGACGTCAGCCTAGCTCACAGCAACCTCAAACTCCTGGGCTCAAGGGATCCTCCTGCCTCAGCCTCCCGAGTAGCTGGGACTACAGGCATGCGCCACCATGCCCGGCTCATTTTTTTCTATATATTTTTAGTTGGCCAGCTAATTTTTTTAAATTTTTTTAGTGGAGATGGGATCTCGCTCTTGCTCAGGCTGGTGTTGAACTCCTGAGCTCAAATGATCTGCCCGCCTCGGCCTCCCAGAGTGCTAGGATTACAGGCGTGAGCCACCGCGCCCCGTGGAGATCCTCCTCCTTAAAGCAGTACTTCCCAACCTGCCTGACGGTAAGTTTCGTAAACTTAGAACCTCCCAGGCTCCTTTCCCAGGAGATTGTTTCTGTGAGTCAGTCTGGAGAGAATTCCCAGGGCTGGTACTTTTAATGATCGCCCTGGGAAACAGTGCCTGGAAGGATAGGAGGGAGGGATTCCTTGAAGGCAGAGCGAGGGGGAGACACATTTCCAGCAAGGGAACAGGCTGCACATGCAGGTCTCCTAGTGAAATCCCAGTCTGTCCCAGAGAGGGAGGAATTTATCCAAACCCCAAACTTGCTGAGCTTTTAGATCAGGCAGCCCCAGGGAGGATGGGGGACGGACCCTCCACACTGGTCCCCACCAGTGTTCTTTACTGGGGCAGACACCCCCCCTCCTCTGCCAGCATCATTAGATGCTCTTTAGGCAGCGGGGGCGGTGAGGGGGCGGTGAGGGTCTTAGCAAGGCAGGTTGAACTGGGTGGGGCCCAGCAGTCAAGTTTGCCAAAGCAATGAGGGTTTCTGGGCAGGTCTTAAAGCCAGAGAAGGTTTGTTCTGTCCTTGAGCCTGCAAATAAGGTCAGTTCTTGATCTCTGCAAATGGCAGGAGGAGTGGCCTGGGTCTTTCAAAACAGAAGGTAATCCCAAAATCATTTGTATTTGGCATCGCAATGCACTGAGTAATTCTATTTTCACAGCAGCAGATTTCTGCTAATTATGTTCTGCTTAGATTAATATTAAAGCCAGTCTGCATTCCTGGGGCCACGGCAGCTGGTGGGTGGAAAAGGATCCCAGGAAGCTTCTGTTAGCGAGAGAGGCCAGGCTGGGATTTAACATGTGCTCGCTCTGGACGCAGGCTCCCACCGGCCCTCTCGCTCTTCCCGAGGACCCCAGAAAGAAAGAACAAGTTGCAGCTGCTGCTGTGTGTTTGCAAACTGCTGAGAAGAAGAGCACCAAGGTGGGGTCACCGGAGGGAGAGACGGGGGAGTGGTTTGAGCAGGATTTCTGGTGGGTAGAGGCCAGGGACACTGCTAAACATCCTGTAGTGCACAGGACCTGTGGACATTTGGGGCCAGCCTTCTCTCCGTGGCAGGGGCTGTCCTGTGCACCGTAGGACGCTCAGCAGGGTCCCTGGCTGAACCTGCTGGATGCCAGAAGAGCCCACTCTCCCTCCCCGTCCCCCAAGTGCAGTGATCAGAATGTCTCCAAATGTCCCCTGCAGGCAAAACTGCCCAGTCTAGGCCCACTGCTCTAAACTGTGGCTCAAATGCCACCTACCCACAGAACCTCCTGGGATTTCCCCAGAGCAGTGGGGACAGTTCCTCCCTACTGGCCCCTTGTGGCACATTTTACAGGCAGCTTTTGTGAGCCCCCCTCCTACAGATTAGACGCTTCCTGAAGACGGGGACTGGGTCTGGCCCTACGATTTCCACCGAGTACCGGGATGGGGAAGCTGCCTCCCTGGAAACCTGCACGTGTGTGTGCACTTCCTGCGTCCTCGGGGCCCAGGTCTCTCTCATCGGTCCCAGGTACTCGGCCCAGTGCTTCTATTTCATGGTTGGATGTCCCCTTTCCAACTACCTGGATGGAACAAGAACTCTTCTGCCCACCCCTCTTGCAGACTTCTGACCGTGTCTCCTGGCCCTTTCTTATCAATGCCACAGCTCTGTACAGAAGGTGAGGCGGAAGTGTCCCTCACAGTGGAAGGAGGGGTGAGAAATCAACCAGCTCACTGTCCTAAAGCTCTTACCGTGCACTGCACACACACTCTAACGACCGATTCCTCCGACGCTCAGACCACCTAGGAGGGATGTGCCATTATTACATCCCCATTATACAGATGGGGAAACTGAGGCACTGAGTGACAAAGTACTTGTCCAAGGTCACAGAGGCCATAAGCAATGAGCTGGGAATGGTGTCAAGGCATTTGGCATCGGAGTCTGTATCCTTGAACCTCAATGATCTACTATTTCTCTATCATGAAGTTTGCTGTCATTATATGTGCATATATACATAAAAAATCTACTGTCTCTGTTTGCAATTCTCCCTGTCTCAGCCAATATTGCTGTTTTTGACCTTCAGATACTTTTCTGGGATAAGAAAGGTCTTTTCTCCTCAACTTGCCCACCCCTCACACCTTGGGCCCCTTCCCTGAGACAGTATCTCAGGTGCCCTGGCTGGAGGTGGGCAAGGGGCACAGTCCTAGGGACATTGGGAGCTGAGGAGGACTGAGGAAGGCCGTGTCCAGTATCAGCTGTTCAAGACATGACACCACGGCTGACTCACCCTCCAGCCCAGGGCTGTGCAGGGCCCGAGGGTTAAGGGTAAATACAAATCTAGATAGCAAAAAATTCCCTTAATTTTTCCTGGTGCAAAAAAGGGACAGGAACCTCCCTCTCTTCTTGGAGTATTTCCTTTAGAAAACGTACCATTGTAAATAATCTGTCCCTTTGAGATGCACGTAAACCTCTTAAAAAGCTAAACAAGACTCTTGCCAGTCTTACGGTCCAGGAATGGTTTCTTAAGGGTCTGGGAGCCACCTCTCGGAAATGCACATGTGGAGGCAGACAGCACCTCATCCCCTGCTCAGGGGCGGTTCACTCAGGGCTGGCTCCAAGTTGTGACCCCCCGATAGTCATGGAAATATGGGAAGTTTTGTTTTTCTTCTGGATAAAGGAAGTTAGCTAACAAGGATGGCCAACCCATTAGCAGGTGGGTTTAGGGTGGACAAGTGTGACAAACGATGCTGTCCAGTCCTCTCGCCTGAGGACAGGTATGCGGCGGGGCGCGTCTCGTGCCTGCCCGGCTGCAGGACAGGGAACGATTTCTTTCCGTCTTTGCAATCTCCTTAGCGGCCGCCTGTGACAGCCAGGGCAGCCTGGTGTCACGCTTATTCAGCAATAAAACCGTTTCACTCTTTTCTACCTTTGCGGAGGGGATTCCCTGGGTTGGCTGGAGGTTTCATCTTGAACTATGTCCCCAAGAAGGGCCAAAGCAGGGGCGTGGCTGGGAAGCCCACATTACCGTAGGCGGGGGCGAGCCTCTCCCGATGAGCGGCACGTTCTCGTAGCGTGGGTTCCCGCCGAAAAGCATGGCTTGGTTCCTGCGGGCAGAGCGGAGACCTCAGGAGGGGACAGTGTGTGTGGGGGGGCGGGCTTAATTCCTCCAGAGGGGGCCTGAGGGGTGCACGTGGGAGTGGGGGCTCCTGGGGGTGGGTGCATGGAGAGGGACCACAGACAGAGTGGAGGCCGTGTGGGTGGAAGACATGCAGGCAGGGGGCACCCTGGGAGGCTGGGGACCAGCAGCAGATGGGCAACAGGTGCCAGGAGCGGTGTGGCCCACAGACACGCGGCTTCTCAGGCCGAGGACACGTTCCGTGGGGCTGTGGCCAAAGGCTGCTGCAGCCTGACACCTACGGTGGGTTCTTTCCATCACATGTCAGTGTGGAAGGGTGACTAGCTACTCCCTGGGGGCCTTCCCTCCAGGCATCCCATGGCTGTAGTGGGGACCACCGGGGGCCTTTGATGCCTTCTCCCTCCACCTGGCTCTGGGGACCCGGATATGCTGTCTGCAGACCCAGCTCCCCTCCAGGGCTACGGGGAGCCATCGGCCCAGCCCAGATGTGTGCGGGGCCCCGGGAGCGTCTGCCGTACATGTACTCGGAGACGGGGGCGTTGGAGATGGTCTGGGCCGGGGGCTGCAGGCTGGTCTGGCTGCCCAGGCCGCTGCTGTAGCTGCAGAAGCTGCGCAGCTGCCCCCTCGGGGGGTTGTGGGCTGCGATGCGCCGGGCTTGCGGGTTGAAGGGGTCCTCGTCATCGATGTCGTCGTAGTCTCTGTTTCTGCGAGTAGAACGACAGGTGGAATTGGGCCAGCGTGAGGAGTGGGAGGCTCCCAGGCAGGTGGTCCTGTTCTGCTTCCCAGTCTTTCCTCCCAGACTCTCTCCGGCCACGTGTGTCTCCTTGAGATTCCTCTAAATCACGGTCCTAGGCCCTGCCTCGCCCCATTCCCAACTTCATGGTCACCTCTTCCAGGCAGCCCACCACGCTGACTGCATGCATGCGGGTCCTCCCTACCCTGCTTCCTCTTGCCTCATCTGCTCAGGAGGTGCTGAAACACCACCTTGCCCTGTCTACCTCCTCAGTGAGCCTGTGGTTCCCTGATGATAGTGATGCAATTTATCCTTCTAGGTATTCCCTGGGGCACCCCTCCCGGCACCAAAATCTGTCATCATTGCACGTTGCAAAGTCCTGCTAAGGAAGAGAAAAGAAGCAAGGGACGCCAGGCTGTGGCAGGAGGGCTGTCACCACCTCGGCCCCAGCTCCCGCCCTGGGGCTCCCGCTGGGGGTCTGTCTGGACTCTGGGGAAGCGTCTCTAGACACCCTGCCAGCCTGCTGGGCCCTCTGCCGCCCTTCTCAGTCGCAGGCTATTGGCTCTCAGCGACCACAGGGCAGAGCCTCCCGTGTGCTCCCCCGGGAAGCTCCGGCCTGCAGGAGGCCCCTGCCCACCTGGTGGTAAAGTGCTTCCAGGCCCGAGGCCCCGCGCAGATCATGGTGGAGAAGGCGAAGGCGGCCAGGAGGGAGAAGAGGCCGAGGTAGAGCAAGCCCTCGAGGCCGTCGTAGCAGATGCCGGCGAGGGCGTCCAGGTAGTCCTGGAGGAGGAGGAGGAGGTGGAGGAACGCGCAGTTGGAGAGCGAACGGGGCAAAGCCCGGGTCTGGGCTCCTCTCCGGAAGCCCCCTTCCCCTAGCTGGGACCCGGGCCTCCTAGCACCTGCCCCCTGTCCTAAGCCCCACATACTGCCACTCAGGGTCCACGCTCTGGAGCCTCACACCACGGGGCTTCTTGGGTTCACTCTGCAAACATTTGCTGAGCACCTACTGTGTGCCGGGCACTGAAGGGCTTGCTCTGAACAAGACACACAAGGTTGCAGGGTGCGGGGAGCCAGAGACAGGTGGCAGGTAAGCTGAGGCCAGACGGGTAGAAAGAGAATGAGAAGACAGGCCAGCAGGAGACAGGGCCAGAGGGCAGGAGAGGAGTCTGGACTTTACCATAAGGGTCAGGAAGACATCGGAGGGGTTGGGAATGGGAGGGACGTGATCCAATTCATTTTTCAAAAGGACTGCCCTGGCTGCTGGGTGTGAAAGGTCATGGGTAGCAAGGGAGCAGGAGAAAGTGGGAGGAAGAGCAGGACGGGCCAGTGGGGGCGGCCGTGGAGATAGAACCAGATGGATTCAGGATGCATCTGACAACGCAGCTGCTAGGACCTGCCGAGGGAACAGATGTGGAGGGAGGGGAGAGGACACAGGCTGTCCCCTGTGCCCAGCTCTGAAGTCAGACTACCAGGATCCAAACCCAGTCTGGACTTGCTGGCTCTGGGCTCTTCAGTGGGCTACTCTGTAGAGACACCCATGTACACATGCCCACGTGTGCACACATATCCGTGTTCATCCGTCCACAACACACTCATGTACGTGTAGTTTAGTTGCCTTATATGTAAAACTTCCCATGAAATCACATGCATTTCACAGTACAACTGTGAGGAACAAATGACACACTGGATATAAAGTGCACAGAACAGGGCCAAGCACAGTGCTGGCAGCCACGATCCTCATTACGACTATTTGCTCTCAAGCCACAGGGAGTGAAAGCGGAGGACACGAACTGCCCGCTGCGTGGGGGCAGAGTGCTCACGTATGCCCACGTGTTCCCTGCATCATGTCTGTCTGATGCTCCAAGTGCCTGAAAAGACGACACTTGCAATGGGACCAGGACATCAGGTAGTGAGATGGGTGCACCAGATGGCCGGGAGTCTGGACAATGGGGAACGGCCTCCCTCACGTTGGTCAGGGTCCCACAATGCTCCTGTCCCTGACCACTGGTCACCTTTACTGAGGCTCCTTGTGCCAGCCGCTGGCTGAGAAGCCAGAAGCCAGGCACCTCCTCCTCTTCCCACCGCACAGCTTCAGCCCTGCTCCTGGGTCTGAGAAGAGCCCAGGCTGTCACCCTCCAGCACCCCCGCACCCCCACGCCCTGGGGTGCCCGGCACCTTGTGCAGTCCCCGGCAGTCCAGCATGGCTGTCAGCTGGTGGAGGCTAGACTCTGACGAGTTCAACAGGAGCTGGACTCCAAGCAGATCTTTCTGGAGCAGGGAGAGAGAAAGGCAGAGCGTGAGCCGTGGGGTGGGGGTGGGGCTCGGGCAGCTAAAACCACAGCAGCAGCTATGCAGAGGCCTTTAGTGCCCAAGGGAGGGGCCCAGCCGCCGGGGGAGGGGATGCAGAGAGCCAGCAAGCTCTCTGCAGCCTGGCCCTGGGGTGGGGGTGGGGCGTGGCAAGAGAAGGGGCAGTTAGGGTTCACCTGGGGCTCCCCCTCTTCCTGCACAGATGCCGTGGGAGGCGGCTGCCTTACCTCTGCGGTGGGGAAGAGGGGCACGGCGAACTGCAGCAGCCCCGAGACCTGGATCTGCATGGTGGTCAGCGAGCGCTGGAAGGCGGTCAGCGTCTGGGCCGGGAGAGACGCAGCCCTGCCGTGAGGGTCCACCCTACCCAGGAGCCCTACGAAAACTGCAGGGCCGGCGCTCCTGTCCCCCAGCTGGCTGCAACTGCACAGGTGCATCCTGACCACAGCCCTTCCCGCCTGCAGGAAGCCTCCCCCTCCCCCCAGCTTCTTGAGCACAACTCAGTCCTCTCCCTCTTGCTGTTTGCTGCCCAGATGTGGTCCTCGGGCCAGCAGCATAGCATCGGCCTTGCCTGGGAGCTGTGAGAAATGCAGAGTCTCGCCCCACCCCAGACCTCCTGCACAGCATCTGCATGTGAGCCAGCTCCCCGGGGAGGTGCACACACGTTAACACGTGAAAACCACCGACCTACACACTGACCGAGAGCCTGGCCCCTTCGGGGATGTGGCTGAGGAGCCAGGGCAGGGCGAGGGCGGGGCTGGGCGGGCCATACCTGCTGGAAGGGGCTGCTTCCACGCTGACTGCAATACAGGTAGTAGCGGGTCACCTCTGCAAGGCAGTGGCACTGGTGTCAGGCAGCTCGCAGATGGCCAGACCCCCTACCATCCTCGCGCCCACGCCTGGCCTTCCTACCCCCATCCCCGAGCTCCCGAAGGGGGCAGGTGGTTTCTTGGAAATGGCCCAGAGGATGAGCTGGGCCTGAAATTGTGGGTGGGGAGGGGCTGGGTAACTACAAGACTGAGAGAGGTAAGTAGAGGCACAGTCTGGATGGCCACGTGGGCCTGGCCCGAGAGCCTTACCTGTGCTGATGTGGCCCTGCGTGACGTTCAGGATGAAGGTGTCGGGGGCTGCGCAGAAGTCACTGGTGCCCTGAGTCAGGGAGAGACAGGAGAGTGCGGAGGAAAGTCTGACACTGGGGCCCGGGGAGGAGCCAGGCCCCTGGCGCTCACTCCCAGATGGCAGAGGACAGAGTCGGAAGCAGCCTCCTGGTCCGCATCCTCACTCTGCCCCTCCCGGCCCGGTTACCGCACGCCAGTTACTCACTCTTTCTGCGCCCCAGTTTCCTCATCTGTACCGTGGAGATAACGCTATTTACCTTATGGACTAATACACAGAGTGTTCAGAAAAGTGACGGGGACAGAGAGCATGTCAACTATTACTCTTATTCCTAAATGCCTCTTGTGGGACAGAGCCTCAGGGACGGCGAGCCCAGGCCCGGGGCAGCTGTGGGCTGTTTGCAGGGCTGTGTGTGGCCTCGTTTGCTCGTCTGTTTTATCTTTTGTCTTGCTGTTAGCAGGGCCACTTGCTCTGCTGTCGGGCTACGAAGGCTGCCCCGACTCTCTCTCTAAAGAATGAGGCCAGTGGCCAAATCCACCCATGGGCCATCACCTGCAGGTCCTCACCGGCTGAGACAGGGCGTGGGCAGAGCACGGGGCTGGGAGTCGGAGGACACGGCCAGTGACAAGCTTGGGGACCAGGACCTGCATCACGGCCCAGCCAGGTGACCGCCGAGGCTCATGCAGCTGAGTGGGAGGAGACACAGGCCCTGGGAGAGGTGGCAGCAAGGACATGTCCTCTGAGTGAGGCCACCCCAGATCCAGCCTGGGGTGCCTTGGGACTGGGTGAGGGGCGTACCCACCTTTCTGAGTAGCCAGGTGAGTTCTAGTCCTTTGGCCTATTCCTAGGGGCTGCCCCTCTTCTGGTGCAGGCTCCCGGGCAGGGGACCCCTCTGATGGCCCTGCTCTGCCAGTGACCCTGTCCCCTTTCAGGGGCGACTGCCTCAGGGTCCACACTAGAGCAATGCTAAGTATTTACTGAGGCTTCCCGGGTGCCACGCAGGGTTCCGGGCACGGATACAGTGGCAAGCTGCGTCGCAGCACTAAGGTCTAGAGAACGTGTGTGGGGGTGGGGGGTGCTGGGGAGTAACATGTCCCTAGGTGCAGAGCTTCATAGAGCCCTGTGTACACACACACACACACACACACACACACACACACACACACTCGTGAGCACTCAGAACTCTGGGAGGATTGCTCTATCCACCAACCACTAACGTTCATGGTAAGTCAGCCAGGCTTCTCATCCGTCAGGGCCGCAGGGCCAGCAGGCCTGGTGCGCTCCCACCCCCTGGCTGCAGGGGCAGAGAGAAGGCAGCTGGGCCCGGGTCAGGGCTGGGGACGCCTTGGGAAAAACAGTGTGAGGCCACTGGATCAGTCTGGGTCACCCCCGAGAAGTCTGGATCCGAGGAGGGAGAGGGACAGGAGCCCGCCGTCCAAGGCTCCACTAGCGATGTGGCCTTCCTTGCTCCCCCTCCCTCTCCCGGCCAGGCCTGCTCCTCAGAGCCCTCCGCCACCCCTGAGCCTAGTCTCCTGGGACAGGGGCATCGGGATGGTTTGGGGTGTAGGACTTAGTGAGGAGTCAACTCACTATTAGCAAAGACAAGTGCCTGCATGTGTGTGTGCGCATGTGTACGTGTGCATGTGTATGTATGCATGTGCGTGTGCATATGTACGTGTGCTTCATTCATGTGATGGGGTGGGGATGCATGGAGGAGGGGAGAGGAAGGGGCACCAGGCCCAGATGGGGCAGGTGGGAGAAGCTGCCCAGCGCCCAGCCCGGGCGGTGGCTGAGGCTGCATCGGTTCCCAAGAAGGGAGGGGAGGGTCTGCAGGGCTCCCCATGATGCTCACGTGACGCTCACAGATGTGCAGGGGGCCAGTGGTGGCCGCTGTTTCCTGGGCATTGGCTGTGCACCCCCCAGGGATAGACCCACTCATCTCCTCCTTTCACGGCCCTGCGGGGCAGGTCCTTTGATCCTCCCTGTGCGCATAGGAGGAAACTGAGGCATGGAGGACTTGAGTAACTTTTCCCAGGCTCCACTGCTGGGAAGGGGTTGAGGGGGCATGTGGGCTCAGGCAGGGGGCTCCAGAGGCCACACTCCTACCCTGTGAGTCAGGGGGGCTGGCCTGGCCGTCCCTTGGCCGCTGAATTCCCCTGGAGCACTTCATCCAAGGTGCACTGCGGCCGAAGCACCTGCTAGAGGAATCCCCTTCCTCCTCCTTGGTGTCTCCTCCCCTCCCCGCCTGGGCTGTACTGCTGGGAGGTGGCTGACGCAACCCCTCCCTGCGGCCACTGCTAGATCCTGTCCCCCTCTTCTCCCACAGCCTTCACATCTGGGCAGGGACCCAGTCGTCAGGGTTGGGAGGGGGCTCTGGGTCCCACCACTGGAGGACAGAGCCCCTCTGCCACCCCCGGCTAAGCACAGCCACTGGGCGGGCCCTGTCTGCTATTACCATGGGGGACCCTGGCCGCCCCCCTGAGCCCCAGAAGCTGACATCCAGCCAGGACTCCCCTCCTGCCCCCTCCCCCTGTCTGTATGCGTCTCTGAGTCCACGTGAAGCGTGCTGGAAGCTTCTGTCGCTCAGACTCATGACCACATGGGGTGGCCCCGGGCCTGACAGCTAAGAGCTCTGCCCCCCAGGTCGCACCTACCCTCCTCTCTCTGCATCCCCTGGAACAGACCTCAGGGGCAGTGCTTGGTCCTCTTGGAGCCCCTCACTGGAAGGGCAGGAAGGGGTGGCCTTGTCAGTCCTCTGGCCTCAGAGCAGGGTGGCACTGGGAAGCCACACAAAAGCTCTCTACTATCACCCTGCCAGACTGCCCTGTCCTCCCCTCCGCTCCTCCCGCTTCCTATTGAAATGCAGCAGCCTCTCCAGCCTGTCAAAGGCCCATTCAGCTCTCCCCACACGCCCCTCTTCCACTGAAGGAATTAGGGAAGTGGCCTTTCTGCCCAGTTCCCTGCATTCCAGGGCACCCAGCTGGGAGATTAAGGCGCCTCTGGTTTCTGTGCACACTGAAGCTGGGCGGGAGCCCACTCCCCCAGGGCAGCCGGGCACAAGGTGGTGCAAGCTGGAGGCCACCACCGCCTCCCGAAGGCAAGGCTGCCCGGCGACAGGGGCGAGCTCCCGTGCTTGCACTCGGCTGCGGAGGAGAGGTTGTGTCGGCCCGGCTGGCCGGCAGTGGCGCTACTCACAGCCCTCCCAGCTCCTGATGCCATGGGATGCTTTTGGGAGTGCCCTGGGCCCTCCTGCCCGGCCCTTCTCTCTCCCAGTCCTTGGGCCGTGGCCGCTGCACAGGGGTGGGGCAAAGACAAGAGAGGCCACCTCCTCTCCCTCTGCACAAGCCTCTGCCAGAAGCTGCCGCGCCAAGCGGCACCAGGGGCCATTCATTCATTCTGAGGGCATCGTGGAGGCACAGTGCCCAGTCCAGAGCCCCTGGCCAGCCCCCGAGTCACTGCGCAAGGCATGAGTTTGGTTAGGGGCTTCTGTTCGGAGCCCCCATCTCTTACTCCCTCAGGCTGCTAAGTCAGAACAGACGGAGATCACGGGGTTAGTGTGTGGACCCCGAATTAGCGAGGGGTTCCTAGAAACCCTCTGGTCAGTCGTGCGCTCCTCTGTCCCACGTGCACGTGGACACACACACACACACACACACACACACACACACACAGCATGCACCTCCACCGTACTGACTCCCTTGGGGTTGCAGCGACCCGCCTGCAAGTCTTGCGTCTAAAGGCCGGGACGTGGTCAACAGCAAACACCGAGTCCTCCCCGTTCTGCAGCCCCAGCCCCTGGCGCCGGTGAGCGCCGCACAGCAAACCATCCGCTGCGTGGACAAAGAGCCTCGTACACACGGCTTCATGCCAGTGTTAGGTCCATTAAAGACTAAAAGCACCCACAAGGAAGCCCTCCACTTTTTTTTTTTTTTAAACATTTTGGGGCCCCACATCCAGAAATACATGCCACGTGTGCTTCAGACTGCGTGTGAGCCCAAGGTCGTGGGACGGGAGGAAGCCCGAGGCCACACCCCACACGCCAAGGCCTGGGAGCTGGCAAGGGGGGTGCTTCCGAAGCCGGTAGCTCCTCCAGCCTGATCCCACCAGGCCCGTCTGTCCTTCACACCCAGAGAGAAGCCACCTGGTCACCCCCGCATGCCTGGGCAAGCCGTGGCGGCTTATCTGTCTTGGTTCTGACCTTGGGCAAGCCCCATTCTTTCTCTGGGCCTGTTTCCCCGCCCGGGAGGCCGGGAGGCTGGTCCAGATGACCCAAGTCCCTTTGGTTCTGAGGTGCTGGGATTCTAGGTTAGGGGCTGTGACCGGAAGCTGGCCCTCCCTGGGGGCTCTAGACAGGACACAGTACCAGACAGACAGACTGTCCTGGCCAGACCACCACCCCCCACGGCCCCCGCCAACTCACCACCGCCGCAGCAGCGTCCGCGGCCAGGGAGGCCCAGCTGAGGAACAGGCTCAGCACCCCGCAGCACAGCATCCTAGGGGAGAGGCAGGCGCTGGTGGAGTCCCGGGCAAAGGCTGGCAGGCGTCCCCCTATGATGGCTGTCACCCCACCAACCCCCAGGACCCCCTCCCGGCTGCCATCCTGCCCTCCCCGGCCCCAGCCCTTGCAGCGGTTCTGAAGGTAGCCTCAGTCCCTGCCCTGACGGCGGCTGCTGGGAGAGGCTGTGGAGCCTGCCGCCAGGAGCGGGTGACACCGGGCACGGCTGGGGGCCCTGACGCTTGGGCCCAGGTTTCTCCAGCTGCTCGACAGGGAAGCACAAGGGCCCGGTGCCTGCTTGGTGACCAGATGGTGAGTCGGCGGCTGCTGTCTCTCCCCCTTCACCCATCCCCCGGCTGGCTGCTTCAGGCAGCCTGGCTGCTGCCCCCCAATTCTGGACCTGGCCAGGCCCCCTCTCTCTCTGACGCTGGCCCCTTGCCCAGCTCTCTGTCCCGGGCCCACAGGCAGGGCTACTCACGAGGCCAGGAGGCACTTGGAGCGCTTGGCCAGTCCCAGGCAGGCGATGAGGCAGATGACCAGGTCCAGGATGAAGAGCAGGAGGTAGGAGAGCCACCTGGGCGTGGGACGGGGATGGTTAGGGCAGCAGGCAGAACGCCCTGCCTGCCGCCACCCAGGAGGCCCATGTGGCAGCCCCCAGGCCCACCTGACCCTTCATGCCCACAAGCTGCCCAGAGCTAGGAAGCGCCCCGCAAGCATGGGCTAGAGGTCTCCGTGGGGGCTCTGGGGCTGCACCCCCATTTCTGCCTGAATAAAGCTGTCACCTCCCACCCCCTGCCTCAACCTCATGGCTGAGTGTCTGAACCAGCCCTGTGCGCTAGAACTTTCCGCAGCGGTGAACTATTCTAAATCTGTGCTGTCCACTCTATCTGCCACCACCCACAGGTGGCTACCGAGAACTCGAAATGTGTTAATTAAATTTAAATGGCCACACGTGGCTCGTGGCCTTCTGACACAAGAGCCACGTGAATATGCAGACCCTCCTTCCCAGCAGCGGTTTTCTCCTGCACTAACACCACAGAGGGCGAGCAGGAGTTGGGGTGTGGGTAGGGAGGGGGTGCTGCGGCTGGCAGAGAGTGACACAGAGGCTCCAAGTGGGGGGGCAGGGGTGGCGGAGGGAGCCAGCTGGAGGCCCCTTTGCCAAGTGAGGGTCTTTCCGACTTTGTGAATCATGGGGACTGATCAAAGTCCTTGACCCCCACAGAGAGCAGGGGGCAGCTCACAGCAGGTCTCTGGGTTCCCAGAAATAGGGCTGGGGACTTTGGGGACCGGGCAGAGCCCGCCCTCCACTTGCCGGAAGCCACCAAGGAGTCAGTTTTCCCAGACTCAGAGCTGGAAGGAAGCTCGGGAACCATCTAGTTTGGGGCTCCATTCTACAGGCTGGAAAGCAGAGGCCCATCGTGGGGAGAGCCTGGTGCAGGGATTCCAGACTGTCCACCTCGACCCTGCCCACAGGGGACACAGCCAGCCACGGGGAACCTCTCCAAACGCGGCTGAGCGTTTCAAACCTAAAGATTCCTGGTTCCTGCCCAGCCCTGCTCCGTCCGCCAGCAGGAAATCCAATTAGGGCTACTTCCAACCCGCCGCCCGCAGTGTGATCCGAGCACTTTCTCTGCGTCCAGGCCTCGTGTCGTAGGGCTTCCTGGAAACTGCTTCTCGAGGCGGATGCGTCTTCCCCGAGGGGCCGGGCGGGGGCTGGCGGGGGTGTTTCTAACCCAGAACTCGGCTCTCCCACTCCCACTCCCGCGCCTCCCACCCGAAGGCCTCTCGGAGAGCAGCCTCTCGCTCTTACCTCCCCCAGTACTTGGCCAGCCCTCGTGCAAAAGTGCTCAGAAATATTTGCTCAGCTGATGGCTCTGCTTAAGAACCACCCCAAAAGCAAAGACGGGGGCCCTCCAGAGGAGCAGGGCTGAGGCTGGGCAGCAGCCCAGTGAGGGGGGCCACAGGCACAGGGAAGGCTGTGCGTGGGGGCGGAGCCATCGGTTCCCAGGAGACAGGTGCCACCCGGACTAGACCTTTCCTGCCCCTACCTAAATAAGGGGTGGGAGCTGGGAGTCATGGGGACCCCCCGATTACCCACACTGAAATAGCAGCTGTGCAGGCACCACCACCTTCCCCTACTTTTAATGAAATCATTAACAATAAGCCCCTTTTGATATGTCCTTGATGACTTATTTCATCAATGTCATTGTCGAAATGCCCACGTGAGGCCCTCAAATGTACAGGGCCCTACGCTAGGTGCACTGGGCGAGAAGAACAAGGTGGAAATGGACACCTTTATGCCCCTACCCCAGCCTTGTCCGGACATAAAGATCCCAAAGGCTCAGGCAACGAATGGCCCACGCGTCACAGGACTTATCAGAGACCGCTGTTTGGGCCGCAGGAGGTCACAGGCAGGTCTCAGAGTTGGCAGTTGCTTTTTGTCCCTTGGGAGGAGGCGCTTTTGCTCCTAAGTATCTATCTGCTGGGGAGTTAGACCAAGGTCCCCTTCAATCCAGAGCGTCCGTGACATTGTGGAAATGCAGGGGCTGGATAGGCCAGGGAGATAGGAGATGGGGAGCGCCATCCAGAGCCCGGGACTTCACGAGCGCCCCTCCTTGGGGCCCTGCCATCCCTTGCTCTCGGGACGGGGAGAGGCCCCTGGACTCTGTCCAGCGGTGACCTCCTGGGGTGGGGCTTTACAACACAGGGGGAGGAGTCCAGAAAACCAGAGTAAGTCGTGCACTTTTGGGCTAAAGGCTCTGAGCTTTGTCAATGGCTTGAAGAGGAGCCAACAAATCGGGGTGCGGGGGGCTGTCCAGAGAGCTGACACTTGTTCCGAATGACATGACTCAAGTACCCACGCCACCCTCAAGCCTGCTCCATGCTGGGCACCGGCCCAGGGAGCACGATGACCTGTGCTTCATGAGTGACTTCTCTCAACTGGGGGTCACCCAAAAGCTTAACCCCCTTCCCTGGCTCTCCCCAGAGTGACCTCCGCTAGACCCTGCACCTGGAGGGAGGGCAGCTGTCCCTGTGCCCCGTGCCTTCACCTGGGATGGGCACAGGGGAGACGTGAAAGGACCCCAAAGGCTAGGACGTAGGTATGAGCTTGTGCTCCTGAGTGAGGGGGGAAGGCGAGGGCGGAGCCTCTCCCTACCTAGGCTTGGGCACGCTGGGGTGCTGGGACGCTGCCATCAGGGGCTGGTCCACGCAGACAAAGAGGCCACCACCTCCCCAGCCCCCTGCACCCCTGTGGCTTAGTGTGTAGGTCCAAGGGAGCCTGCCTCATGGGCCCCGGTGGGTGAGGATGTAAACCACGTGGCTTCACCCAGCACCAGCCACGGAGCATGCGGTCTGGGAGGAGCACCCTGCACAAGCCGGAGGCCAAGTCCAGCCTCCAGAGCTGGGACTTCGGGCACTCTGGCTGCCTGTCTGTCAGGACGGCCGTTCTGCATGCCCGCCACTCGGCCCCTGCAAGCTCCTATGTCTTCCTGATGTTGGCTGATGGCTTATTAAGACGCATCTCTGCCCAGGCCCCAAATGCAGGTTTGGAGGAGGGAGCCAGGCAGCCCCACCATCCACCCTTTGCCCCACCGGCCCTCACCGGTAGTACTCCACGTAGCTAGTCTGGTCGGACAGCTCGGTCAGCTCTGCGGTGGCCTCCCGCCACACGGGCAGTCCCGAGAGCTGGACGGCGATGTTGTCTGCCATCTGCTGCATGAACTTCAGGGTCTGCATGTAATCCCCCCGGGCAGCAAAGATCTCGCTGAGCCGGGCCAGGTGCTGATCTAGGTCCACCTTCATCTTCTGGGTGGTTCCGGAAACCTAGGGAGGGGTGGGAGGATGGGCTGTGAGTCTGGCCCTTGGGTGGGAGAAAGCCAGGGAGGTAACATTCCTGATTCTCATTGTGGGGGAGGAGATCTTCGCAGGCAGCGAGAGGCGGCGTGCTCAGGCTTGAAGGGATACACCACACCGCCCCCAGCCTGAGGATCTCATGAGCCCATGGCCCGGAGGAAGGACCAAAGGCAAAGGCCCCAATACCCACCCAGCCCTCATGTCCCTCAAGCCAGGGGACAGGCCCTGACCTGGCCTCAACCAGGACCCGGGCTTCAAGACCCAGTGCCTTCCAATAAAGAGAGGCTCAGATGGGAAAACCAACGAAATAATCGATTTTCCTTGGAGATTCTCTACAAATTTTGACAGTTTGGATTATGAACTCTCTTTTAGAGAAATGTTTAAATGGAAGAGTTCCTATGTTGCTTCCTTGGCCTCTTATTCCCTTAACAGGATTTCTAAATCTCCTACGAGAGCAAGGTTTTGCTGTTGGACCTGCGAGCAGGCAGAACCATTGGACTTCACAAAAATAAAACAGTCCCAAGCCGGTCTTCGAAGAGCCTGGACACAAGGCAGGAGGAGGAAACCAGTGGCTTCTCTGTGTGTACACATGTCCTCCCTGGACGTTTGTCCCACCAGGTGGGTGGACAGGCTCATGTCCCTTGGCTGGGCCACAAGGGCCTGAGGTTGAGCAGACCCGGAAGGAAGCACCTGTCTGTGCGAAGGTGGCAATGGAAGGACGCGGCTGTGACCACCCCTGCTGGCGTCCAGAAGGCTCAGGGAGAGCGGTACTGGCAGGGGCTTTCCAACAGCCAGGGCTGCCCGCAGGGCCTGGGGGCACAGCCCGGCAGCGGGGGGAAGAAGGGCTTTGTTGTTCGGAAACCGTCAGCTGAACCAAGAAGCACAGCTGGCTGGGAGAGGGCAGAGTGTGCTAATCCTCGTCCGGCAGCTCAAAGCTCCTGCAGGCCCGGGAGACAAAAACAACACGCGAGAAGGGGAAGGAGCTTCCCGCAGCGAGCGAGGCAAGTGGGTCGAGCAGAGACCACTCCCGGTGGCAAACTGGCCGCATTGTGGGGACTTAACGTCCACCGTGTGGCCTTTTACATCTGTACAACACTGGGAGTTCCTGGTTCTAGGGAAGAGAATAGCTCTTTGTTTCATTTTGTTTTGTTTTTTTTACAATGTCAGCGGCTTGTTCCGTTTTTTTCGGGCTTATGTTTGGTTCCTTCGGGCTGGGGGAGGACTAAGATAGCGCGCATGGAGACCCACGCGGCAGAGCCAGCAGCGCAGGGAAAAACCCCGCGCCGCGTAAAGCACGTTCGGTAACCAAATGCCACCCTAGTAAGCTCTCCTGTTCAATTTACCAAGATAAACGTACAAGAGCTCTGTAACCGCTGACACAAACGGCACTATTATTAAATGATAACATTATGTGCAAACCCAGCAACAAATGTGAGACTTGTATTTCCATATTAAACAAACTTCAGAGCAAAGGGCTATTAAAATTATTTGTATTGTGCAGAAAAATGGACTAAGTAAAAAAAAAATTAAAAAGAATAATCTGCAAACTTTTTCTATAAGACCACTCTGTTCTCCTTCTATAGCCTTACATTTTTACCTTTTCTATTTCTTAAATCTCTCCTTGAAAAAAAAAAGAAAGAAAGAAAAGAAACATTTGTCAGGCCCTCTCTTTCTTCCTCATGTTTTTCCATGGGAAACAAAACAAAATAAAAAAAAATAAGAATTACAACATCAATCAGCTCTGGGCTCCCCATTTCTCCATGCCACCCCGATTCCTGAGGCTCAGTACACAGTGCTCTGCCCAGGGCAGGGTGGGCCACCCTCTCTGGAGATGGGACCAAGCTCTTCGCCACGGAGGAGAAAGAAGCTCTGAGAACAGGAGGGACGGGTCGGCTCCCCAGGCTGGGCGGGGTTAGGGACCTGCTGGAGATTGTGAGAATTTGCCTGCAGGATGGAGCAGCGGTTCTCAAAGTGTGGTCCCTGGGCTGGCAGCTTCAGCATCACGTGGGAATCAGCACAGATACTCGTGCTCAGCCCCAGATCTACCGAATCACCAACTCCAGGGCGGGGCCCTCCACAAGCTCCAGTTTGAAAACCTCTGTGAGGGAGGAAGCTCCCCAGCTTAAGGAGGTTGTTTGGAAGGACAGACGGACCCGATCAACGGGAGTGAGGGGCTGAGACCAGGAGGCCTGGGCTCGGTTCTGCTCGTTTTCATCCTTGGGGCAGCAGTGTAACCTCCTGTGCCTCAGTTTCTTCACCTAAGTGTTGCTCACAGCCTGTGCAGGCTCAGATGAGGGAGGCTTGGGGAGCCACCCGCCAGCCAGAACACCGGCCACAAACACCAGGCAGCAGAGCCCCCAGGGCCCTGGTGCACAGGGCTCCTTCACCAGGTGGCCGGATGAGGGCATTTGATCCACAGAAGGGCCTTTGCCCACCTGTCACCCCCAAATGACTCCTTTCTGACCCCCCAAATCAGGGTGTGCAGTTGATCCGGAACCCTGCCAGGCCTCCAGGCCCAAGCCACCCCTACCCACCTGGCACAGGCTTCCCTCTGGGCGGAAGGGTGCAGGGGTGGGGCTTCCAGTCCAGTAAATGGGGGCTCACAGCAGGGCCCACCTAGCCTGTGTTGGGTGCAGCCCCAGAAGACCTCTTGGCGGCCACCCAGCTGCCTGATCTGGGCTCCAAAAGGCCCAGGTCCACGCCAGCTGGCCTGTCCTCCAGTCCCCCCACTCTGCCTCTGCGGCCCAAGGCCTCCCCTCCCAGCCTCTGCACTGCACAGTGATTACCGTAATTACTATAATAGCACTCAGGATCAGAGTCGCCCCAGCCTGAGCGCACTCCATGGTTTGCCAGGCACTGTCCCCAACATTACCTCGTCTAATGCCCACTTATCTGATATCTGGACTTCACCCCTCAGATCTGGGAAGCCCTCTAGGGTCTGCAGCCTCCCCTGGAGCCCTTGGGGCTGGAGGGCAGCCTGGCTCACCCCAGAGGAGGAGGTGGACACCCACAGCCGGAAGCTGCTTTTGTCAGCCTGTCCTCATGTTCTGTAATGGGGGAAGGCCGAGGGCTGATCTCCAGAGACGCAGGACCCTTCCCTTTGGGGACACGGGGAATTCTGGACAGTGGGACTTGCTATGAAACATCCAGACCTGGCCCTGGAGCACTCTCGGGCCTTGGGGAGGATGGACCTGGCCTGGGGGGCTGTTCCCAGCTCACCTCCCTGCACGGCTCTCACCCGGTGGGACGAGAACTCAAGTTTTCCCATCAGTGTGGTTCTGGGAGTTTCCCTCAGCCAGTGACGTCAGGGCCCTGGGGATTCCTGGGCGGGGCAGGGCAGGGGCTTCCTCTCAGGGCCAGGTTCCTCCTCCAGCAGTCGGGTGCTGGGGGCTGAAGAGGGACAGACAGAGCCTGGAGGGCAGTGACCTTGGAGCCCTGCCCCACCAGGGCCTGGGTGAGGGTGCATTGCCCCCAGCTGGGCCAGGCCACACCCCATGAGGCCCGTTCCTCAGCTCCTCCATCCCAGCCGCCCTCTTCCCCCTGCAGGGCTGTCCTAGCCCAGCATCCAGACTCCTGAGACACCAGCTCTCGGGCAACCAGGGATGGGCCCTAGCGGATACCAGTGGCCAGATGAGTTTACCAGGGGAGCTGGGCCTGGGTGTGGACCGATCTTCAGCCCCTCTCTGGAGGCCGGGGTCCCTTCCCCCAGTTGTCTTGGGCACAGGAGCAGCACAGCTGTCTCTTTAAGGTGACCCCCCCACCCACCCACTGAGGGATTAAGGCCTTAGAGGAGCTTAAGGGGGCAGGAGTGGGCGAATGAGGCCGACTCCTCTTGCAGAGGAGGCCAGGGTGCTGGCCAGATTCTCTGCTTGGGGCTGGGTTTGGTGGCGGAGGCTGCTTGACACAGATGGGCCTTCTGCTGCGGCTGTCACCCTCTGCAGGGGACCTGGCCCAGAGAGGACCACGACTGGGGTGCGTGTCCCAGGACTGGTTTCCCTGAACGCTGCCCTCTGCTTCCTGCGGGAGCCCTGCTCCCAGGGAGCACCCAGAGCCACTGTGGGGCTGCCCGGAAAACCAGCCCAAGGGACTGGGGCTTGGAGAGAAGGCGGCAGGGGCGTGGGGACCAAGGTCAAAGTTTGAGAAAACCCTAGTCCCTTGTCCTCTGGCTCTGTCGCCTGGCCAGAGGCTCAGCAGAACAGCTTTCTCCTTCCCCTAAAAGTCCGCCATGTGCAGCCCAGCACAATCCTGCACTGTGAGCCCCAGCTGGAGAACCGGCCCAGAAGACAGAGCCCCAAGGACAGACATATCGCCGGGCTTCCTGCAAAATCTTACCACCCCACGGGGCTCTTCGCTTGTTTCGGAAGAGAGTTTTTCTTCCCTCGGTATCTCCCGGACCCCACAACACTCTGTACGCAGCACTTAAAACGCCGGACGTAAAAAACGCAGTGGGGCTGCTTTTCCACGTTCAAGGTCTCCTTTGACACAGGGGAAAGTGTCTGCTCTCCGAAAAACTAAACGGTGTTTGATCTCGCAGCCACCCCCACACCCCTCCTGTGGTCCTGACCCCAATCCCTGCTGCCCTCCTGGCTTGGGAGGCACAAGTGGCCCCTTGGCCCCAGGCAGGGGCAACTGCAGCCCAGAAGGGGGTGTCCAGCCCTTGGGCATCACACAGCCCCTTCCTGCGCAGGCTGGGATCCACTGGGAGATGGCCACAGGGACCAACGGGTGCATCTGTGGCCGGCCAGCTGCCCGGGGGCCTTACCAGAGCATCGATCCCAGAGAAAGTGTGGTTTGCATCATCCAAGGAGTAGACGAGCTGGTACACGCCATCATTGGTCTCGCTGTTTCCATAGAAACCAACACCCACCGCAGCACTGCGAGCAAGACCCCAAACAAAGGTTAGAGGTGACACCCGGAGGAGAATGTTTGTGCTTATTTTAAAAATTAAACTTTTTTTTTTTTCAGTGTTTTTTTGTGTCCAGCGCAACGGGGTGTGGAGTGTAGAGTTTTCCCACGCGCCTGTGTCCCCCCCCACACACACACGCACAGCCTCCCACCATCACAGTCCAGCACCAGAGAGGGACATCTGTCACAGGTGACGAACCTGGACGGCCACATCATTATCCCCTGAAGTCAGGAGCTCCCATTAGGTTCACTCTCGGTGCTGCACATTCTAGGGGTTTGGACAAATGGACAGTGACATGTGTCCACCATATGGTATCATTACAGAGCAGTTCCACTTGTTAAAGATCCCTGTGCTCCAACTATCCCTCCCTCCCCTGAACCTCTGGTCTTTTTACTGTCTCCATAATTTTGCCTCTTCTAGAATGTACAGTTGGAAAGATACAGTATGTAGCCCTTTCACATCAGCTTCTTTCACTTAGTAATATGGATTTAGGGTTCCTCCATTACTTCTCATGGCTTGGTAGCTCATTTCTTTTTAGTGGTGAGTACTATCCCGCAGTCTGGACGTACCAGCGTTTATTTACCTGTTCACCTGCTGAACGACGTCTTGGATGCTTCCAAGTTTTGGCAATTACGAGTAACGCTGCTATAAACACCCATGGCTGTTTTTGGAGCAGGTTTTTGACCTTAGCTGAAAAACTCTTTCCTGGGGGATGGCATGGGTGGGTGGGTGGGTGGGGCAATGATTTCTCAAGTTCTGGCAGGTTAAGGATCGTACAAAGTCACAGAGCAGGAGCCAGCTTGTCCCTGAAGCTTGTCTGCATTTTCTTGAGGCAATAGGAAAATCCCGTCCCCTAGTCCTGTGACTCTGAAAGCCGGAGGTTGTGGCCAGCCGCAGGGATTCTGACTCGGTGGGTCTGGGTGGGGCCCAGGCACCTTCGCTTTCATCCCAGCTCCCAGGCGACCCTGACACAGGTGGGCTCGGGAACCGCTGAGGTCTGGCGAGCCCACACGCCCAGTGCCCACCCTGGGTCTCACCCTACACCTCCAGGAACTGGGGACCCCCTCACCATTCTCCACTTTGTCCTCCCAACACCCCCAGGGCACCCATGTGGCAGCTTGTAGGATGTTCCTTCTTATACTGAGCGTAAACCTTCCCCTTAAACCTGGCACCTGCTAGGTCCTGGGTTGCCTCCAGTTCTGCGTGACACCAAGGGAGACACCAGAACGTGGCTTCCTCATCACCCTTTCACCTCCTGCTTGTCCGCATTGGACATGTGTCCCTCTCTGGGCTAAGGTCTTCAGACCCTGGTCCATGTCGTCACCGTCCTCTGGAGTCAACTCTGACTAACTGGGCAACGACACTCTTAACCGTGGCCTCTGAGTGAGCCGCTCCTGTCCAGGTTGTCCACAGCGCTGAGTGCAGGGGGGCCCGTGCCCTGGATCCTCCTGCCCCTGCCGACCTGACCCTGTGTCCCCGTGCCCCTCCCGCCCCCCACAGGCCTTGTGGTCTACAAGCAGCCCCCTAATTTCTTCCCAGGAGTTGCTGTCCTGCCTGGGCCACGTGGCGGACCATTTGCTTAAGGGAAAAGACAGAAAACATGAGTCGGTGGTGCAGTCTTCTCTCTGGCATGTCAGCACCTGCTGCCTTTTCAGGAACCCCGTGTTGGTCTCTTCTCTACCTATTTAACCTTCCTTTGTCCACGGAGCCTCAGCAGAGGGGCTCGGCACGTTCTCTCCCATCCCACCCCCCAGCCTCCACCTGCCACCACCCCCCCCCCCAGAGGGGCTCGGCACGTTCTCTCCCATCCCACCCCCCAGCCTCCACCTGCCACCACCCCCCCGCCCACCCGCCTGCTGCCTCCACTCCCCTTCCCGGCCTCTCCTCCTACCCCCTCTCTCCCACAGTTCACACCAACCCTGAGGGATGCAGCTCCAGCGAAGGTGACCGATGGCCTCCTGGCCGCTGCACCCAAGGGCATTTCCCACCCCACCCCCACGCGCAGTGGACAGCGTGGCCTCCCCCTCCCGAGGCGTGCTGGCCCGTGCCCCCATGGCTGTCCTCCCCCTTCCTGGCCACTCTGTCCTGGGCTCCTTCCCTGGCTCGGCCCTGCCCCCTCCTCACTCCCAGCTCTTCTGGTGGCAGGTCCCTGTGCGTGTGTGTGGCTGCCACACTGGATGCCCTCATGACCCTGGGCTATAACTCCAACGCTGAGTCTCCACTCGGATGTTTCAAAGGCACCTTAAACAAACTCAAGCCATGTCAAACCAAGCCACGGCCGCCTGCCTGTCTTCTGGTTCCCTGCCAGCATCCCACTCCTGCATGGTTTGGGTCCCAGCTGCCCCTCTGCGTCTTCTCACACTGCTACACGATCTGCTCACAACCCGCCCCCCAGCACCCCCACCTGTGTCTGCTCTCCCCGCTGCGGCCACATCGGCTTCCTCCAGCTCCACGCTCCCTCCTGCCACAGGCCTTTGCACCTGTGCTCTTCCCTCTGCCTGGAAGTCGCTCCTCCCTCCTCGTCCCTACCTTTGCCTGGGTAACGCTTCTCATCCCCTGGGTCTTGGCGCCCTTGCACCCAGGGACATCCAACGCGGGTGGGTTTCCTACTTTCATGCCCGTCCCTTCCCTCTAGGGCTCTCTCCTTAGTTTGCAATTACTCAAATCGCACAGTGGCAATCCTCTGCCTCTCCCGGCACGCCCAGAGCTGCAGGACCGGGGAGGTGGAGCAGGGCCTGTGTTCCCGCCGCCCGCTCCCACTGGCCTGGCACAAGCCACGTGGAGATGCTGTGGAACGAACCCTGCCACGCCTCTCCTGCCTCGAGTTGTCTTTACACTATGGGTGACTTCTACTCACCAGAATTGCCCCCCAAAGCCATTCTTACTGTTCTAAAGGACCTTTCAAAAACAAGTTTGTTGTGTGTGTGTGTTCTTTTTTAAACCTGAGTTCACATGAGCCAGGGGGCCCAGTGTAAGCGCAGGCACTGCTGGCTTCTCCGGTGGTCCCCAGGGTCCCACCTCTCCCTGTGAACCCTGAGCTGCCACATGCCCTCGGCAGGAGGGTTTTTAATGCCACGGTTACTTCCCAGGAGATCTTCCTCCCTACATGGAATCAAACTTGTCTTTGAACTCCTGACCTCGGCTGGAACTCTAACCTTTGAGCCTATATCTCAGCCCTTCCCAGGGGCTCAGAGCTTCGTCACCCCTGCTAGGTGGCTTCTGGGCCTTGCCCACCCTTGGCTTAGGTGAGCCTCACGCTACAGGCAGGACGGGACCAGAACACATTCCGATGGGGAAGGGAAGCGCGGCAGTGAGGGGGGCTGCTGGCGGGGAGAGCCCAGGCTCGCCGGGTCCTGCCTGGCTCCTGTCCTGCTGCCAAGTAGTGGGGGCTTCCACCCAGGGGCGGCCACATAGGCTCTCGGGAAGGCCTCTATAGATACAAAAACAAGAAAAAGGCCAGGCGAGGTGGCTCACACCTGTAATCCCAGCACCTTGGGAGGCCAAGATGCAAGGATCGCTTGAGGCCAAGAGTTCAAACCAAGACCAGGCAACATAGGGAGACCCTGTTTCTACAAAAAATAAATAAAACTAACAAAAAAAGAAAAATACAACTCCTGAAAGCAGCTAGTGTGCGGGTGGAGTGGCCAGGCAGTGCCAACGCCTGCATGGGACTCAGGATCCTCACTCCCACGGCACAGAAGAAGAGCCGCCCAGTGGCACTAAAAGCTATCGATCTCCTAAGAAGATGGGATTGATTGGACTGGAGTCAGACTTGCTTCTGACCTTACGGACTCGGGGCGGCAGCGGGAGGGGACAGCACACAGGGGGTGGAGGTGCCCGCTATCTGGTTATGCCGTAAACTCAGGGAGCAGCCTGCGTGTCTGCCAGGCGCAGCAGCCATGGACAAACCCACGTTGGGGCAGGGGTTGGGGGCCAGGCACGGGGCCCTCCTGGAGACCCCCGATCACCATCTCAGGTCTCCTGACATTGGACAGTATTATTTTGGGGACATCTTTTCCATCAAGATCGCCAGAGCTCGGTCGGGAGAACACGGCCAGACAGGCGATGAGCCACTCAGGGCTCGCTGGGGGCAGAGCAGGGGGCGTCCCGGTCAAGGGCTAGGCACCGGCAAGACACAGGTGGCTCAGGCCCGAGCAAGTGGGCTCTTCGCCCTGCCGCGCTGCCGAGGCTACCTCGGCCCTGCTCCCTGGCAGTCTGTGCCGCCCCTGGCCCAGTGCCGAGGGACTCTCACCAGCACACGAGCCCGGCCACCACCGCTGTCCAGGTGACACAGCAGGAGTGGCGCTGCTTGGTCTGCACCGCATGGTCCCGCCTGCAGCAGCACACGCAGACCAGGTAAGCCGCAAGGAAGACGAGGTTCAGGCCCAGGCAGACGGCGGCCACCAACCCCAGGAACAGCAGCGACTAGAAGAGAGGAGAGGCCTGTTGTCAGCTCAGCAGCCCGTCAGTGGGGGTTTCTGGAAGCGCCTGCCCTGGGGCCCTGAGTGCCCTGCTGCCCCGACTGACTGTGGGTGTGGGGACAGGGGCTGAGCTGTGTGTCTGTCACCCGCCCTTTCTGTCTGTCCCTCCTCCTCTCCTCCTACTCTGGTGCTGAGGCACCAGGGTGGAGGTGACAGAGCTTAGAGGGCACGAGGACAAGCGGTGGGCTCGGTGGTCAGCCTCGGGGGAGAGGAGCTGCCAAGGCGGGTCCCCGGTTTCCGGCTCACACACCTGGATGAGGATACGGCCCAGGCCCTGCTGATGAAGAGCTCTGAGCTACTCGAGAGACAAGGCAGGAATCGCCAACGACTGTCATGGTGAGGGCTGTGGGTGCTGAGCCCCATGGATGATGGAGACAGACAAGGAGAGGGACACCCAGGAGGACCAGCGCATCGGGTGGCCTTGGGTGGGACACCAGGTGGGACCTGAGACCCAGCCAGGCGGGGACAGCACTGCCTGTCTGCTGCCTGCTGTGCGCAGGGTGCTGTCGGCGGTGCAGTCACACTTTCTACCCGGAATGTAAGGAGCTGTTCTGGGTGGCGGGGCCCCTCCAGAGAAAGAAGAGGCCAGCTCTGTGCTGGGGCCGGGGCTGGGAAGAGTCAGGATCTGCAACCTGTGCAGTTCCTTCCTGTGTCCCATCAGGGACAGCTAACCCCAGCTGTCAGGGGCTGCAGCCAAGCCAGAATTCTGAGTGGGGCGGGAAGAGCCTTCTCGGGCTGGCCTAGCACCTCAGGGTCCTGCACGGGGAGCTGCTGTCTGTCAGGAGGCCTGGGTGCCCCCCTCTGCCCTCCAATCTCTTGATTCCGCCAGATGGACACCAGATGGCACCGGGATTGGTGGCCGCCAGCCAGGCCTGGACCTGGCTCTAAGTCAGGCTCCTGAGCTGACAGCCACCCCCTGCTTCCCACGAGCCCCCGAGGGGTTCCCAGTCCAGGATCCCCTGTGTCCGGTAGTGTCCGGGGGAGCCTGTTTCAGGGAGCCTGCATGCCAGTGGTGGCAATCTGGGGTGGCTGGGAGAGTCTCCAGGACCCTGTGGTCCAAGGGGGAGACAAGGCTTGTGCAGGGACAGGCAACACAGAGACAGCCCTGACAAGCCGAGGCCAGGGGTCTGCAGCCGGAGGGACAGAGCACAGTGGTGTGGACACCTGCTGCAGGCCACGCTGCCCAGCCCTGTGAGATGTGGACAGGTCTCTGGACCCCTGAGTTGGGCTGCTCTGCTGGTCACCCAGGCCAGACAGGCTTCTCAGCAGCAGTGGTGGGGACAGCCCAGAAAAGGGCAAGAGAGATGGCGCATGTGGGAAGGGGGCAGAAGGATTCCATGTAAAATGTGGATTTTACCTCCACTTGGGACAAACATGTCACAGTGACAGCTTCCCTGGTCCCCTCAGCTCTGCACACTGTAAACTCTCCTCCAGGCAGCTGGGAAGGCCCCAGACCCAGCAAAGGGGACCTGCATCTAGCCATGCTCCCAGGCAATGCGTATCCCACTGAAGTCTGGGAAGCACGGGATTGGTGTCAACAGAAGTTCTCCAACTTTTCTCTAGTAGCTTAGCTGCCTCTTCAAACTGACTCACTTGGCAGAGCCCTGAAATACAGAGCCGCATCTGAATGGGGAGTGCACGGAAACGCCACACTTTGTCCTGGCCACCCCTGCCCCTGAGGCCCCTCTCCTAAAACCCAGGGATCCCCGTAACAATTTGCAAACTGCTGTGTAACATGCCTACCATGACCTAGCAGAAAGGAGGGCTCGTGTCTCCACAAAAGACACACACAAATGTTCACAGCAATTTACAGCAGCAATAGCCAAACACCCAAAATGACCCAAACGTCTACCAGCAAGAGAATGGATATGCAAAACATATTATGGTCATAAATGGAATACCATGCAGCCATGAAAAGGAAACGGCAGCCATGCATGACAACAGGGATGAATCTCACAGAGGTGATGTTCAAGGAAACAAGGCAGACACAAAACAGCAGAGAGGATGTGGTTTGATTTATATGAAGTTCAAAGCCAGAGAAACTCACCTATAGAGACGGAGGTGTGAACAGTAGCGACCTTTGCAAGGGAGCGTGAGGGGGATCCTGGGGGTCTGGAGTACTATTTCACTGGGACAATGTCCCCCCGCCATACACACAAATCCACTGAGCAGCACACTTAAGACTGTGCACTGTCCCATAAGTTACTCCTACCGAAAAAGACTGTAACCGAACCCCAGACAAACCTCCGGTGTGGACTGGAGGTGGCTAATATCCAGCCCTCCCCCCAGCCACCCTTTACTTCTAGTTTGCTTCCTAGACAGTCCTACTCTCTTTGTATCCCTAAATGGGATGCCCCCCCTCCACTGAATATGCCATGTGTCCCCACCCAGCAAGGAAGGCTCCCCCAGGAAGCGGTCAGCCTGCGGGCGGTGTGGCCGGCTCCCCTGTTCCACACTCTCTCAAGCCTCCTCCGGCCTCCCGATCCGCAAGCCTGGCCTCTCGGCAGGCCCTGGGACTCTGTGGCCTGGGCCCTCTCCAAGCCGGGCAGCTGGCCTCAATTAGGTCACCGATAATGCAGTCCAGCCCCAGCGAGAGCGGCACCTGGGAAACCCAAACTCGGAGGGTTTTTGTTAGCAGGTCACTTCCCGAACCCTCCCTGGAACCCTCTCTGGGTGCTCGGGACACGCAGGGGGTGGGGGTGCGGCAGGGGCAGAGGGGGAGGGGGAGAAGGAGCGGGAAAGGAAGAGGAAGGGAGAAGGGAGGAAGATGGGGGCAAAGAGGAAGGGGAGGAGGCAAGTGGAGGCCTAACCAGAACCTTCTCCCACGGCCAGCCTGGTGTCACCTGCTGCTCTCTAATGGGCAATTATTTTCCTGGCCCTAATTAACACCGCAAGTCCCCATGTGCATGGGGGTAGGGTGGAAGAGGGAGCCCAGACCTGCGCACAGGCTTCCTGCTCTGATGCACAGAGCTCAGCAAGGACAACTTTCCACGTCACCCGCTGTGCCCTGCAGTCACCCCCACCCTGGGCTGCCCCAATACCATGCCTACGGCTGCCACATCAGTGGTTAGACTGCCTCTGCCCTCTTCAAAGTGACTTAATTATCTCTGGTTTGTCACCATGTAATGAGAAACCCAGAGCAGTGAGCGCCAACCCAGGACCGAATCTGGGGGCAGCAGTGACTGCTGCAGCCGGATGCGTGGGGTGTCCACACTGGGGAGGGGTGACAACAGCCCCAGCCCTGAGAAGAGGTATGGAGAGGTGAGCTGGCCTCGGGGAGGTGGGGGAGGGGAGCCAGGAGCACGAGAGCCCCCTCCCGAGGCTCAGTGTGACTGTCTGATGATGGTGACTCAGTTCGGGCTGCATGAATGGGGCTTCCTCATCCCGACCTTAGCTTGCAGCCTGGTCTTCCCTCCTCGGACCCACCCCGTGGCAGAACAGGGAGTCCTGTAGTTCTTGGCCCAGCCCTCACTCTGTCCCCTCCCCCGCCTGAGGACACACGCTCGGGACTCTTTGGGGAGACTGACCTGAACTGAACAACAACAGGGACGAAACAACAACACATGAAAATGCATGCCTACATGTAAAGTATTAATATTAAAAACATCTCCTCTACCCCCAACACGGGTCCCAAAAGAATGTGGTCTACGGATCCAGGGCAAGGAGAGCTGGAACAGGCGGCACACGCGTGGCCCCTGCATGTTGACGGTAGCAACAAATACCCGGTGCACGGCGTCCGGGGCTTTCTAAGGCATGTCAAGCACATTAGCTCAGCAGGGTCGGGGCTCCCGTGCGGGGCCATGGACGGTGATGGTGGCACCAACACCGGGCAAGGAGGGAACTGAAGTGGCTTGTTCACTTGTTCAGGAACAGCTGGATTTAGTGCCAGGTGCTCTTTCTGTTGTCCTCAATACTGTTTATGGACACCCGGCCAGCAGGCCTCTCCTTCCTAAGCAGCGATTGTGGCGATTTTCGATGTGCCGGGCACTGGCCACACGCCTGTATCGGCTAACTCACCGGTCCCCTTACTATCTCCTTGAAGTAGGAATCGTCTCCATACCCAACCCTCCTCACCTGTCAAAGGTGAGAAGATTCAGGCTGCAGGTCCTGGCTGCTTCCCCTCCAAGACACACAGCCACGCCTGGTGGCCTGGAGCTGGGTGCCCACCAGGGCCAGGGCTCCCTCCTCCATGGCCTGCCTTGGTGCCACCTCGAAGGCCTCTGCTGCCCCGAGGGCAGCCTCGCCCTGAGGCTGGCAGACAAAGGCTCAAGTCTGCAGGGGGAGGGGCAGAGCCCCATCAGGGGATTGGGGGCTTCCACTCCTCCTAAAGACCCCAGAAAATGAGTGGGAGCCCCTACTTCCTCGGGTTCTGGAACATGGGTCTGCTCAGGCTCTCTCACCTCCCCAGGCGGCCTGCTCTTCAACCATCTCTGCACTTCCCAGCAGCCCTTTGCTTTGAGGTCCCATGCCCCTCTTGGCCGCTCCTCCAGGCCCTCACCTGCCTGTTTCCATCTTCTCTTAGTCTTTGATGCACGTGCACACACATGCACACTGTACCATGCGCACTGTCCCACGAGCCTGCACTGCTCATTTGGACATTTGGGGCACGAGCAAATGAAGCCCGTTGTGCGTGTGTTTTGTTCAGTCTCCCCTGGCCAGTGTCTGTGGAACAGGTCTCCTCCCTCTCCACCTCTACGGGGTGTTGCGCCGAGACGTGCTGTTGAACCTCAAGGCCAGTCCACCCAGTGACTTTTATCACCAGGTCCTATTATGTGCCACGGGACTCTACCAAGCACGTTACGTGGACTGTCTCAGTTAACAGCGGCAGATGAAGGAAGCAAGGCTCAGAGCGGCTGACAGCTGCCCATGGTCACAACTAGGAACCCAACCCACCAGGTGGATGGCAGAGCCCCCAGCCCATAGCACTGGGCCCAGGGGCTGGCCCTGACACTTCTCAGCAGCTGCTCCTGAAGGCCCCACTGCCTGGGTTATCACAGTCACCCCAGGCCCGGCACGGTGCTTGGCCCCAGTCAAGTTTGCTGCGTGCGGACCGAGGTGACTGATCCACCGTCTGGTCTGGCAGTGAGTGGCGCTCAGGAGGAAAGGGTACATCTGGGAGAGGCTGTGGTCAGACAACAGGGGAACTCCCAAACAGGAGCAGCCATAAATAACACCCAGTGCCAGACTTCCTGTCCTGGCCCACCACACTCATCCCCCACCCAGCGATGGGGCGGAGTGGGGTGGGCTGAGCAGGACCAGTGGCCGATGGGAAGGGGATGCCCTCTGGGGCCATTTGATGCCCAGCTCAAAGTGAGCCAGGGTCAGAACCCTAGGACGAGGCCGGGCGCGGTGGCTCACGCCTGTAATCCTAGCACTCTAGGAGGCCGAGGCGGGCGGATTGCTCAAGGTCAGGAGTTCAAAACCAGCCTGAGCAAGACCCCATCTCTACCAAAATATAGAAAGAAATTAATTGACCAACTAAAAATATATATACAAAAAAAATTAGCCGGGCATGGTGGCGCATGCCTGTAGTCCCAGCTACTCGGGAGGCTGAGGCAGTAGGATCGCTGAGCCCAGGAGATTGAGGTTGCTGTGAGCCAGGCTGACGCCATGGCACTCACTCCAGCCTGGGCAAGAAAGTGAGACTCTGTCTCAAAAAAAAAAAGAACCCTGGGACGAGATGGGCAGAGAACATGAGTGGGTCCCTCTGGCTCAGCTGCCACCTGTCTGTGGGACTGGGGGGTGGGGCGGGGGTGAGGCAGGCTCAGGCTCTGCCAGCCAAAGCCGCTGGACAGAAAGGAGCTATCTTTGGGGCCAGCCGTGTGGAGAAGTGCCATCCCTACCCCCACCTAGGGTCTTCTTGATTTCCTCCAGTGGAGAGGAGAAATCTATGGTTGGACACTCCGGGTGTGGGATCTGGAGCACAGGATTTGGGGGATGGACAGACACACACACACACACACACACACTCTCTCTCTCTCTCTCTCTCTCTCTCTCTCTCTCTCTCTCTCTCTCTCTCCCAACAACACAGCTGTCTCTGAAATCATATCCGCCTCTTTTCATGCATTCTTTGGGAGCGGAAGATTCCCTGGAGCTATCCCCAGGCAGCCACATTCTCAGGGAACTTGGACTTCCAGGGGCAGGGCTCCGGGAGAGGGAGGGGCAGACAGATCAGGAGGAGCTGGGCGCGTGGGACTGCCCTGCTGCCCTGCTCCTGTGCGCCCACCTGACAGCAGGAAGGGGGCCTGATTCTCCTCTCCTGCTGGAAAGGCAGGCACCCTCTGCCTGGGCCAGGGGTTATTATTAGACTCCCTGTCACTGTCACCAGCGCTTGGGCAGTGCACACTCTACCAGATCAGGATCCCCTGGGCCCTGTGGGAGGAAGGCCTCCAGAGAGGCCCTGCTTTCTTTGCCCAGACCTGCCCCATACCAGGAGAACCTGGCCCTGCAGGCAGACGCGGTCTGGGGGTCAAAGTCCCGAGATGGGTGCACAACTCTGAATAAACGTGCCCTCTCCTAGGCCACCCAGCCCATGAATCTTTGACCCAACGGGGGTACCGACCGACTCAGCCAGAACACAGGTCCACAGCAGGTGGGACCAGACCTGAGACAGACTGGGAGATTCTGCAGCTGCGTCCGGGCAGGGAGGTCTGGGGAGCCCTGGCCCTGACTGTGGGGTGCAGAAACCGGCAGAGGGCAGGGCCAGCAGTGTGAGGATGAGGGGAGTGGCTGGTCAAGAAGCCCCAACCCCAGAAATTCAGGGCCTAGAAGGGGTGGGGTGGGGGAACAGGAATGGGGCAGTCCAGGACCAAGGAGAGGACAAAGAGATGGGCTGACAGCACAAGGGGGTTCTCAGGGTGACAGTGTGAGAGGGGGGCTGATCGGAGGCCACCTTCCTTTCCTGAAACAAACACAGGCGCTGCTGGTTCTCTGCGTGCTACAGGGAAGTCACCCAGGCCGCCTCCCCAGCCCTCCAGCCTTCCAGAAGGGGCCCAGCAGAGGTCGTGGCAGCGGCTCCCACCCTGCAGGCAGGGCCAGGAGGAGGCGCGCTGCGGAGACGCACTAGGGAGACTCAAGTCAGTTTCTGCCAAAACTTCTCCCAGGCCAGGCAGCACCCGGTCTTGGGACGTCAGAAGGTGGAAAACGTCGGGGCACCCCTCGGCATGCCCGCACCCCGCACTGCCCTGCCCCCTTGGGCCCTTCCTCCCCTGCCCAACGCCGGCTTAACTCCGATCTTTCCAGTTTTCTTGGCTCGCGAGGTTCCCAGGCCGGAGGGGCCTCGGGCCAAGGGCCTGGAGAGCGGAGGCGGGAAGGGAAGAGAAGCGGGGGAGGGGCGGCGGGGCGACGGGGGAGAGAGAAAGGGTCTGAGAGGCGCGTGGGATGCGGGCTGCCGAGGGGAGAAGGGGAGGTGCGGGGACCAGGGCGCGCGTGGTCCGGCTCTGGGGCGGCGCAGACTCACCTCCTGGTAACTCTCGTCGCTGGGGCTGAAGGTGCTGTCCACAGGCTGCAGGCGCAGGCCGAGGCGTGGGACGCTGTGCAGCCACACGACCCACCAGGGCGCAATGTACTCCACGCGCGCCGCCGGCATGGCTCGGCCGTGGTGCCACCCGCTCGCTGCCGCCGCAGCTGCAGCCGCCACTCGGCCCGGGCCGCGCGCCCGCCCCGCCCCCGCCCCAGGCCCCGCCCCGTCTCAGGCCCCGCCTCTCCCTGGGCGCGCGCCCGCCCCGTCCCTCTCCCGGCCAGGTCCGGGTCCCAAGCGCGCAGCCCCAGGAGCCCGGCGCCCCTCTCTGTGCTGGGATTTGTCCTGGCCTGACGGGCGAAAGACTGGGAAGTAGAAGTGTAAAAGCTTCCAGAACTTTATTCTAAACTGTTTCAGTCTCTAAGGCTCCGAGCTTGTTAATTACTTATCACATCAAAGCCATAAAGTGTCAATGAATGAGAGCAGCTAGCAGTCCTGGCAGGAGAAGCGAGGCTGGCCGCGCCCAGGGCTTGTTACAGGGTGAGCACACTGACGGATGCGGGAGGGAAGGAAGCAATATTCAGCCACTCGGTCACTCTTTCTAAATTCACTCTCCATCATTTATTGAGCATCTATTGTGTAAACCATGTGGACTCAAAGGGAAATAGGATGTGGTCCCTGGCCAGGCGCGGTGGCTCACGCCTTTACATCCTAGCACTCTGGAGGCCTAGGGGGGGGGGAGATCACTTGAGCTCAGGAGTTCAAGACCAGCCTGAGCAAGAGCAAGACCCCGTCTCTGCTAAAAATAGAAAAAGTTAGACAGGCGTGGTGGCGCATGCCTGTAGTCCCAGCTACTCCAGAGGCTGAGACAGAAGGATCGCTGGAGCCCAGGAGTTTGAGGTTGCTGTGAGCTATGATGATGCCACTGCACTCTTCCTGGAGCAAAGAGTGAGACTCTGTCTCAGAAAAAAAAAAAAAAAATGTGGTCCCCGCCCTCGGGAGCTACCCCCGCCCCCATCTGTCCCAATAAGTAACTGATGCCCCCTGCAAGGCTCCGGCATGAGAACGAGGTGTTTTGAGGACTGAAAAAAGTTGCTTGATTTTCCTGGCAGGAGGGACAGGGCGGGATTCTTGGAGAAAGGGAACTTTGATCTGTGCAGAGAGGAGGGCGGGAGAGCAGTGGGAGCTCCCGGCAGGGACGGGTGCCCGGTGTACTGTCACATCAGAGCGCAGGGCAGTTCCGTGTGCGACGACGACAGTCCACAAGTGACGTCCCACGCGCGCTATTCCGAGGGCAAGTTGGAGAAAAACAAAGCCAGGCAGGGCCAGGAGCAGCCGCCCACGTGGGGAACCCACCTGGGGAGCCTCGCGCCCCTGGGGCCCCAGTGCTGAGCACACATGCGGAGGCTGCACCGTCCTGCAGCTGCGAACGAACGTAAGAGGTGTGACCCGGGCTGGGAGGAAGAAGCTCAGGCTGGAGGCAGGGGGCAGGGCAGCTGAGCGGCCGCAGGTTTGTGCGGTAGAGTGAAGGGGTTGCAACAGGCAACAGGCTCGGGCTTGGAGGGAGGCAGCGCTGGGCAGCCAGCCTGAGGGGTGCAGAGTGGCCGGGGCAGAAAGGAGGCCCACCGGGCAGGGCAAGGGCTCCTAGGGTTCGGCCTGGGGGACAGAGCAGATGCGGGGCTGCTAGAAAGGGCGGGCCAAGACCTCCCATGCCCACAGACCCCAGGCCGGTCCTGCCCTGCTGTTGGGGCCTCTCTTGGTGGTTGCCATCCCATAGTTTCCAGAGGTCACATCTACCCATGCCCAAGGCAGAGACCGGGTGAGGGAGGCCAGGAACGCTTGTCCTTCTCTCATAGGGGTTTCTTTCCTTAATTCAACAAATTTTATTTGGTATTTCTCTGCCCTAGGAGATACAGTGATGAATAAAGCACACACGTCCCTGTTCCTGCCTGCGCAGCACCTACAGCCTAGCAGCCCAGGAAGCCGAATTTTATCCTGCAAACACGGAGATGAGTTACAAATCCTGTTCAGCGCTTTGTAGAGGGAACAGGACCCGGTGAGATCTGGGAAGGGGTGGGGGCAGGAAGGAAATCGCCAGTGCAGGAGCGAATGAGGGGGTCCAGGAGCCTGGAGAGCAGCAGGGGCAGGCGCAGATCAGCCTAGCAGGCTGGGCCGGGAAAGGGAGCTTTTCGGGGTCACGGAAACATTCTCTCCACTGCAGTGGTGGTTACACAACTGCAAGTGTTTTGTCAAAACTCACAGAATTGTACACCAAAAAGGGTTAACTTCACTGTAAATTATACTTCAAAAAAACATCATCTCCCTTTAAGCCAGGGGCAGTGGCTCTTGCCTGTTATCACAGTACTTTGAGACGCTGAGGCAGGAGGATCCATGGCTTGGTCCTAGGAGTTTGAGCAACATAGCAAGACCCCTATCTCAAAAAACAAAAAAACCCCCAATAAATAAATAAAAGAAGAAAAAAAAGAAACAGGTAGGCAGAGCCAGATCCTAGCATCCCCCAGACCCCAGTAAGGGTTTTGGTTTTTGACTCTTGGCCACGGCCACTGTAGGTTCTTTAGAAAAATGGGCCTGAAATGGATCTCATAGGTGCCCCTTAACAGCCCACACACTCAGGGGGGCACTGGTAACAGAGGACACAGCACAGCCTACCCTCTCCCCAGAACCTTGGGGACAGGCACTGCCTGGTACCCTGCTCAGGCCCCCTCCTTCTCCAGATCAATAGCATATAATGCTAAAGGTGCTTATCTTTGCTACAAAGCCTCCCAAACACCACCCAACCTTCAACTGACTCAAAAGTTATAGATGTCATTCCTCTAGGAAGAGACTAGTCACAACTGTGACCTGCATGGTGCCTTAGGAGAGAAAGGACAACAGGAGACACCCTGGTGGAAGATGTTTGCCTCCTGGTCAGTGGGTGGTCACCCCAAGATTGACTTTGACCTGGTGCAGGGGAACCCCAGCAGCTGGGGCTGGGCACCAAAAAAGGAAGGGGGGAATAAGGAGGCAAGGCCTGCACCTGACACTTAAAAGCCACTAACTGCAGAAACTCTCCCTCAGAGGCTACCTGTGTGCTGCTTGGAATACCAAAACCTGCAAAGGCAGTCTTCACCAGTGGACCATTCTAGCGGCTTCCCCAGGGGCCTGCTGACCTAGGTGAGTCAGTGAGGGAGAACAGTAGCAGACCTCCTAAGGACTCCAGAACAGCACTCCCGAATCCCCTGCTTGGTCCAAACCAGCAACTGTGGCCCACTCATCACCCTGTGTGTAAATTTTAGCTCACCGAAGCTTCAGCTAGGCAGTGGTGACACTGTCTGCCACCTGAGGGTTAAAAAACAAACCTATGCTCCAAACCAACATCACCAGAACCTCTGCAGTCAGCCCTGACCACCACAGTGAATTGTTTAAGTGCCCCAATGACCGTAAGGCACAAGCCAGCGCTGCAGAGCACTGTATGAAAGGACGCCTTCTCTGGACGGGCGGACAAATCCCTGCAGGGCTTGTCTCCTAGGAGCTGGGCCGAGTCTCTGGACAATGTGCTGGGGACAAAGAAAGCCAAAGTGGTAAACTCTTGCTCTTCCTTGGGAATCTTAAATGTTTAAAGAATGGTAAGACTGAAAGCTGATAGGGCCATATCTAATGACAATCTCTGGGTGCCCCTGTGTACACCTTCTCCTGGAGGAAATAAATCCCCGGCCTTCCAGTAAACTCACAGCCAGATTTAAAAAAACCTCTCACCCTTACAATTCTTGCAGAAATACTCAGACTGATACCTGCCCATTGCAACCTGCTTATGTTTAAATATTCAACACAATCCCAAGCACACTTTTAAAATTAAAGATGAAAAAACCCAACTATCTCAGGCACTCACTTGAGTGTATTTTATGTGAACCATTTTTAGACATTTACTGGAGACTGTTTGTTGTAGAATGGTGCCACCTTGTGGTCTGTCCCCACATGACCCCATATCACCACCTCACTGAAACTTGCTAGTATTTTTTTTTTGAGACAGAGTCTCGCTTTGTTGCCCAGGCTAGAGTGAGTGCCATGGCATCAGCCTCGCTCACAGCAACCTCAAACTCTTGGGCTCAGCAATCCTACTGCCTCAGCCTCCCAAGTAGCTGGCACTACAGGCATGCGCCACCATGCCCGGCTAATTTTTTGTATATATATTTTTAGTTGGTCAATTAATTTCTATTTTTGGTAGAGACGGGGTCTCGCTCAGGCTGGTTTCCAACTCCTGACCTTGAGCAATCAGCCCGCCTCAGCCTCCCAGAGTGCTAGGATTACAGGCATGAGCCACCGTGCCCGGCTGAAACTTGCTAGTATTAAGTGGCATGAGCAGTTCTAGCTCATTTAAGCCTTATGAAAAAGGTTATCAATACGGCTGTTTTCCAACCGAGGCAATAGGGGCAGAAGTGAAGTTCTTTCTCACAATCATGCGAGTTAGTTAAGTGGCAGAACCAGTATCTAATTACTCCAGAGCCAGAGCAGCTAGGCCCCTGCTGCACCTGTGTTGGGAGTTGGGCCTTTGTGGACCTGTTTGAATGCCGGTGAACTTGACCTCCATCCTGCCACCTATTTTTCTTATGGCCTCCCTATGTCTATTTTCAAACTCAGGCTAAAAAAAGATGGTCTCATTTGTCCACTGAGATCTCATCCAAGCTTAGGGATTAGCAACCAGGATCCATCCACGCCCCATTTCCACCAGAAGCCACTACCAAGCGGCATTTCGCTTCCCATGTCAGAGATAAAGGACACTTAAGAATTTTAAAATATTTTAATACAGTTCAAATCAGCGTGTCTGGTTCATTTCAGCTCCTTCACGGCCAAACCTAGAGGGAAAGAGACAAAGAAGTGAGTCACGCAGGAGATACGCTGAGTTGCTGCCACTTGTCTTGATTTTGTACTTAGGCTAACGAGAGCTCACAAGGCTCAGAGATAGCCCACCAGGGAGGTTCTGGTTAAAACATGAGGTTAGTTTTTGGCCTATGATACTCAATCAGCTCCCTTCCCTGTAAAAATGGGCACTGTCAGTATGAGCACTGCCTCGCAGGGTTGGGGTGAGGACTAAATGAACCAAAGACTTTCCTCTGGCCAAGGACTATTTCTGGTACTGGACAGAACCGGGGAATCACGACCACCCCCTACGCTACCAACAGCAAGAGCAGAGACTTAGAAAAACCACAAAATAGGCTTTCTTAAATCCCGGGATGATTTGAAACAAAATGGCAACATAGTAACATTCTCTGTTTCTAGTCAGTTACACCCCCCCCCTCTTCATTTCAGGCTCACTCACCAGGGGGCAGAGACTGCTTCAGTTTCTCTGCCTTCTCTTTGTCGGTGATGACCAACGTATAAAGGTATCTGCTGCATCGAACTTTAAACTTCACATTGTCCTTATTTTTCTTGATCTTGACAGCTATCAGAGACCAGAATCAGTAATTAAGTTGTATCACAGAAAAGAGAGGCCACACAGTTCATGTGCTTTACACTCATGCAGCAAGTGGCATTTATTAAGTGACTGCACTTGGGCATTCAGCACCCACTGCCAGAGCTGTGCCCCACTTCCCTGTACTGTCCCCCTCTGGTGAAACAGAAAACAAGACTATGTGTCCCTCTATGACCTAAAAATTTTAAAAAAAGGTGCCAGAAATCTACATTTCCCTTTTATTAATATTCAAGAGCCTGAGCCTTATTCAATTTTAACTGGTTTGTTTACATTTAAAACAGGCATTTGGTACACTGAACTGACAACATTGTAGAATATTCCACTTAAACCTTATTTTTTTCCAAGAGATAGAAGCAGTTCCTAAAGTAAGGAGATGGGTTATCTGCTGGGATTAAAAACTTTTTAGCACCTCACTCCTGCAAATCAGTTCTCTGCATATATGACTTTCGGGGCAGTAATATAGAGCTTCTCCTTCAGGACTCCTCCATGTTCCTCCACCCCCGCAGCACGTAACAAAGCTTTCCCTAAAATTTATGTGTAACTGGTTTTCTGGGTTATTTCCTATTGCCGAGTTCTGTCTCAGGATCACAGCTCAGACAAGAGCAAATGCTAAGTGTGCCTCAAATTCAACTGCGCAGGGTTTGAAATTTTGCAAACACAGTCTGATTATATGTAAATGTCAATGCACTTCCATCTGGCTGCTGGAAGACATCTGCTTCCCAGGAATAGGTTAGCCACTTCATGTACCTGTCAAATGCCTCGTTCCAACTTCTTTAAAAACTACTCACAGACACTCCAAAGTACTCACTGTTTTAAAAGCAGTGAAGTGCCAGTTGAGAATCAGGTGGCTAAGGACTGAACATGGGCTCTAGTGCTCGAACCCAAGTACCTAACCAGACACACAGCATAGCACTTAATCTCAAAGCAGCAGCACAAGATTAACTTGTACTCACAATCTCCCAACTCCATTTCTGCCAATAATTCCTAGAGGACAGGGGCACATCACTGGAAAAAGCACCGTGACTGGAGCTGGCCCAAGGCACTGGCTGTCTTGGCACATGTTCTTAATAAATCCAGACACCTGGATATTCATCCAAATCAACCTATTTCAGTATCCCAGAAACTAAGCTGAACACCACTTGTAAAGACGTACGGATCTCTTAAAAAACATTATTCAACGTTACCATATGTGCAGCAATTCCATTTCTAGGTATATACCCAAAAGAACTGAAAACAATGACAGAATATTTGCATACCCATGTTCGGAGACATTATCTACAATAGCCAAAATTCACAAAATGTGGAAGCAATCCAATATCCATCAATACACAAAGGATAAACAAAATGTGGTCTGCCTATACAATGGGCTATTCAGCCTTAAGAAAATTCTGACACATGCTGCATGGATGAACCTTGCTGAAATTATCTGAAGTGAAAGAAGCCAGTCACAAAAGGTCAAACGGTATATATTTTGCTTCTAAGAGGTACCTAGAATAGTCAAAATCACAGAGACAGAAAGTAGCATGGTAGTTGCCAGGGGCTGGGGAATTGTTTAACAGGGACAATTTCAGCTTGGGAAGATGAAAAATTTCCCGAGATGGGTGGTAGTGGCGGTTGCACAATAATACGAATGTACTTAATGCCACTGAACTGCACACTGAAAAATGGTTAAGGTGGTAAATTTTATGCTAGGCCTATTTCACATGTGAAGAAAGTTTATTCAACACCTACTGAACACCTTATTATGCCCAGGGGACTGTGACCCCTACCCTCATAAGCCATATCATCTAAAACCAGGTTCCCAGCCGGGCGCGGTGGCTCCCGCCTGTAACCCTAGCACTCTGGGAGGCTGAGGCGGGAGGATTGCTCGAGGTCAGTAGTTCGAAACCAGCCTGAGCAAGAGTGAGACCCGGTCTCTACTATAAATAGAAAGAAATTAATTGGCCAACTAATAAATACAGAAAAAATTAGCAGGGCATGGTGGCGCATGACTGTAGTCCCAGCTACTAGGGAGGCTGAGGCAGCAGGATTGCTTGAATCCAGGAGTTTGAGATTGCTGTGAGCTAGGATGATGCCACGACACTCACTTTAGCCTGGGCAACAAAGCGAGACTCTGTCTAAAAAAATAAAATAAAATAAAACAAAACCAGGTTCCCATTTCTTCTGTCTTCCGCGATTAAAAAGAAAAATAAGAAGAATAAATTAAAAATAAATAAATAAATAAAAAATAAAACCAGGTTCCCAAACAGAATTAAAACGAAAACGAATCTGATAGATGTGGCTATCACTTCTTCAACATGTTAAGGGCTTTGATGGATCATCTGATTCAATCGTTGCACCAATCTGTGCGACAGATACTGTTACCACCCCTTTTAAATACAAGCAAAGGATGGTGTCACATTTAACTTGCTGAAAACAGGTATCTGCTGGTGGAGCTGGGATTTGTTCTGAACTTAAAACTGACCCAATAATCTCCTCTCTTTGTAGTATGACAGTACACAAAACACAAGCACACAGACATCATTCCCACCAGATGCTACTTGTTCCCACGGGTGGTTTTGATTTACCAGTTCATACAACACCAGAGGATCAAAGGCCTGTTTTGGGTAATCAGGATACACAAACATGACCCTCCCTGCCTCTGCCCACCCCCTACTCGTTATTAAAGGCTCTTCCCATGCACTACCAATTGGTTCTATCACTGGCATAGAGCACTGGAGATGGCTGGTCTCAGCCCACCTTAATACATCTGCCCAACGGTGTCCTACTTTCACAAACTATCCAATTCTCTTCCATGTAGCAGAAAAAATATGACTCCAGGTTAAAGTAACATAACACAAATCAAGATCTAACTTGTATTAAACACAAGCCCCCAAATCTTCAACCATAACAACGGGAAAACAGAACTACCTTTCATGCCTGGTATAAAAAATGACAATATGTGGGCAGCAGAGGGTGGCGCACATCAATCAAACACCTGCTCATCACCTCCTTTCCCCTTTATTTACAAGCTGCAAAATGAATAAAGATCACCGCCAACTTAGGATGGTTCCGCTTAAAATTTTCCAACTTTAGGGTGGTGTTAAAAGTGACACACATCCAGCAGAAACCGTACTTCAGGCTAGGGTACAGGTCCCCTCTCCTGGTGCTGGGCAGCCCCCAGCATCCCTCGAGGGTGAACAACCTACAGTTCTGCTACACTCAACTAACCACAGGAGACATTCAACACTTCATAAAACAGGCTTCTGTTTAGACCATTCTGCTCCACCGGTGGCTAATAAAAGCGCCCTAAGAAAGTTTAAGGAAAACTTTGCCATCAGACACTGAATTACTTAGTAGTTCACTGTGAGCTCGGACCGTACTCAGTCCACGGCATGCCCAGAACTGAACGTGCAGCACGAAACTGTTTACTACGGGACGCGCGTTTCGAGACTTTCATGCAGCGAAGATGCATGAATCTACCGCATAGACAACAGAAGAAAAACGAACTCGGAATGGTCTTTAAGATGCTCACAATTAGCTAAGGCAGGCGGCCCTAAGAACTCTCTCCGCCACCCGACGGTGCCCCAGCAGGTCTGCCTCCCGGGGACTCCGCCAGCAGCACTGCCCCACACCGCCAGCCCGCCGCCCGCGCCCCGCTCTGGGGAGGCGCCGCCGGGGCGCACCGGCGAGGCCGCAGCCCACGCCAGCGCGACCGAGACCATTCACTCGTCGTAAGCCTCCAGAGCGCCCACTTACACTTGGCATCCTTTCGCCTGGCTGTGAGCAGAAAGTCCTTGATTTCCTCAATTTTCCGAGGCTGCAAAAGGAAACGGGGAAAAGCTGCAGACTTTCTGGGGACGGCCGAGTCCACCGGCCCCTCTCGCTCCAGAAGACCCTTGGAAAGGCGCTCCCGCCCTCCTCCAGGTCCCCACGTGCTCCCCGCCCCCGCGGGAAAGCGCCAGGCAGGGGCCGTACTCACCATGGTGACAAGGCGCGCAGAGAAGGGGTGCTGACCCGTACCTGCGGGGGAACAGTCCTCAGCGTTAACAGGGCGCGGGGGCGAGCAGAGAACCCCGACTCCCCTCCGTCCCCCGAAATACCGGCCCGACCGCACTCCCTCCTCCTCCCTCACACCCTCGATGCACGCCCGGGAACCCTAAATTTCACCAGGCCGTGGATTGCTCCGGATGATCCCTCTCCCTCGCGTACCGCCCGAGAGACACTCACAGCAGACAGCAAGAAGGCAGAAGGAAGGAAGAGAACAAGACTTCCGTTTCCGGGCAGTTAAACCCTCCCAACGGAGGAAGCTGGGAACGGTGTCCGCAAAGGATCAAGAATCATATAAGCGTTCGCCCTTCCAATTGGAGCAGCCCTGCCCCCTGCCGGTCAGGGTCAACAGTGCAGCTCCACGGCAGCGACCCACCAGCCCGCCGCTCTCCCTGCGCCCCCCTCCCTCCGCCCACTCACCCACCCCTCCCCCTCCCGACTACCCCATCCCCCTTTCCTTTCCTGCCCCGAAAACCTCCCAAACCCCAGCGTGGCTTCGCTAGGTTTGGTTTCGGGTTCGTGCGCTGGGCGTCTGCCCAGGGAATTCATCATGCCGCGGAAGGGACCCCCGTGCGCACCTGGCGGGACCTCTCGCGGGGGCTCCCCGCCTTTCCTCCCTGCACCCCTTGTGTGTGAGGGGCACCGAGTCCGTCACGGCCAGGGCCTCCTCTTTCCATCGAAGGGGGCTTTCCCACGAGCTGCCTCGGGGTCCCTCCCGCGTGGCGGGGCACTGGGAGCGAGGGGCCCCAGCGGCCGCCCCGGGGCTGAGCGCGCCCCGCTGGTGCGCAGGAAGTGGCTGCAGGTGGCGGCGGGTGGCTCCTGCTCTCGCCCCTCTTGCCCGCGGAGCAGGAGGGCTTTGGGGGCACTAGGCCCAAACCCCCGCCGGGAGACGCGGAGTCCGGACTGGACCCCGTGCAAGTCCCCAGCCCTTTGGGGGAAGGCACCGCTTCCTGCGCCCCTGGGGTCCCCCAGCCTCCACCCCACCCCGTGCACATTTATACTGGTGCACATTTATACCGTCTTTTAAGGTAGGCGCCTGGAAACCTGTGGTTATTGATTTTATTTTTATCCTCCACTTTTATTTTATTTTCAACCTCTCTACAAATGTCTACATTTTATTATATTTGTTGCCCCCAAATTTAATAACCACACAGCAGAATGTAATTGCCTTGTGCTTATGATTACAGAGCAGCCCTCCCGGAGAGAGAGAGCACTTAGCCGTGAGCCCTACTTGCAGCTCGCTCTCCTCTCTCCCTCCCTCGCCCCTCCTGTCCTCCTACTAACATTGACAAGCCCGGGTTGACCCCTTCCCAGGGGTGCTGGTGATGCAGGGAAGGGTAAACAAAATACTCTTAATAGTACTGGAGAGTCCTTTAAAGGAGCCAAACTATGTTTCTGCAACTATAAATGTGTCTGGGTCTTAGCAGTGGAAAAAGTTAATTGGCAGAAGCTTAATTTTAGATGTCCGAGGTTCAAGATCCAGTCTGGGAATCAGGGATGCTTCAGCCCTGACCTGAGAAGGACCTTCCCACATATCTCAGCCGGCCACCTTCGTCGCAGGCAGATGCCTTTCTGGTTTTTTCTACCCCACTGCTCCTGGACAGGGAGCTGCCCTTTCAGCCAAGCGAGCCAATGAGTCTTTCTGACCTCCGGGCATTTGCTGCTCTGATATTAAGTCCTACTCATCCTTCAAAGTTCGACAGGACCTTTCACCCCTGACTCCTGTCGCTTGTCCTTCGTCCAGGGGTTCCCCGAAATCATCTCTCCATGGGCTGCATGGCCAGGTTAAACTTTATGTATGTTTGTACTACTATTCTTTGAAGGCAAGGACAGGGCTGGGCGTTCTGTTGATAGCTCTCGGGATGCAGTGCTCATGTATGCAGAAGGCGCTCAATGCTGCTGTTGCAGGGTTCTCAAGCTGGATGTGACATCTGAGATCACTCACTATATGAAGGGTGGGATGGAGGGAGTGAGGGATGGACGGAGACATGAAGGGAGGGAGAGATGGAGGGATGGAGGGAGGCATGGAAGGAAGGAGGGAGGGATGGAAGGAAGGAGGGAGGCATGGAAGGAAGGAGGGAGGGATGGAAGGAGGAATTAATGCACCTAAAGCAGTGCCTGGCACGTAGTAGGTGATAAAAAAATATTTGCCAAATGAATGGCTGCTGCTTCTTGTCCCCACAGCAGGACTGACAGGACAAGGACGGGGACAGAAGGAGGGGCTGCACCTCCCTTTTGGCAGCGATCCCAGAGAGACAGATGTTCGCCCTCTTGAGTTGTATAATTTAAGGGAACATAGATTTGTAGTAACAAAACACAAAGGCAAATTTGTTCAAGTACCAAAGGCCTCCTCCAGCTCCCCAAGGGGACACATAGCAAAATAAACTGTGGCTACTGAAAGGTGAAGCAGGGCGTCCAGGGGGAACACTCCCCGTGCTCCATGGGAAGTTGAGCCCCAGATGTCCTGGTGTGACTGGGGACAGTTGGAAACCAGAGGGGGCCGAAGCCCTGGCCTGGAGTGCCGCAGCCTGTGTCCGTGGGGCTGCGGCCCGGGATGCTGCCTGGGCGTGAGCCTCCCTGTCATTCCCACACACGTGAGAGACAGGAAAGTCCAAAGGGGCCCGGGGTGGATCGGCAGGAGAGGAAAGCCCAGAGCAGGGCCAGAGCCGGGGCCAGGCTGCCTGCCGGGGTCACTCTGGCTGTGCTGCGTGCGGGGTGGGCCGGAACATCCAAGACTGGAACGGCCAGGGCTACTGCCAGTGTCCAAGGGGCCAGGGAGGAGGGTCTCGAGCAGGGTGCAGGCAGCGCAGTCACGGGCTGGAGGTGCAAGAGGGCCCCTGCAGAGCTGTGGGGCGCCCCACCCTCTCTCCTCCTTCCCTTCGTCACTGCTGGCTCAGGGCTGGCTCCAGGGCTCCGCAGTGGGGCAGAGAGGGACTTGGAAGGCACGCGGCCTCCTCCCCTCCCTCCAGCAGGCCCATACTGGCCGCCCTGAAGGCCAAATGGTTTAGATTTCTCTCTACAGTTTCAGGGGCACGTTGGAGGTAGGACCAGGATCCGTCAAAAGCCCTAGCACCCACCTCGCAGGCGGGCAGAGGGATAACATGGTACGTGGCTGGCAAGATCTCCCAACCTCCATGTTTTTCTATTATTTGATCCCTTCCACTTGCTGGGTGAGCATTTATTGGGCTCCTACTCTGTGCCAGGAACAGGCTGGACCCTGGGAATGACCAGACATGGCGCCTGCTCTGAACACTCGAAGGCTGCGGGGATCCCAGAGGCCCGAGGGTCTAATTCCTCCTGGGAGAGTCCTGGAGGGCTTCATGGAGGAGGTGACACAGAGTTTAGCCTCCATGAGGGGTGTGCAGGAGTCTGCCAGGAGAAGGGCTTCCATGCAGAAGGAAGGAGGGAGCTGACATACACCCAGGGACAGGAGAACGCAGGGTGTTTCCGGGAACAGTAGGAAGTTCACTGCGGTTGAAGGTTCAGTGCAGCTGGAGCAGAAGTGTGTAGGGTCTGGGGGTAGGAGGTTGGGGAGAAGAGGCTGGAGGGCTGCAGTCTGAGGCCTGTCCAGCCTCACGAATGCCACTGTAGCCACCACTGTGAATCGGCCCATCTCTGGGGTCCATCTCATCTCCTTCACTTACTAGTGCTGATCTCCCGAGCCCTGGTTTCCTTGCTTCTGAAGAGTGTTTGTGTCTGTGAGTGTGAGTGAGGCACTACCTTTCTCTCCTCCCTGCAGGGCTGCAGCAGAGCTTGGTGTGATAATTAGCCAAGCCCAAGGCAGCCTGGCCTGGGCTTCCTCCGGGCCCCGCCCGCCTGGGTTGTAGTGTCCACCAGTCGCCACTCGGGGGCGCTGAGGCTGTGGCTGGAAATGGACCATGCAGGCACCAGCCCCTTTCTGCCTAGAATGCTACCATCTCAGGCTGCGAGGACAATGCATAAATTATAAGTAACATTTGTATGCTGTTTCACACCTGGTGGAGTGCTTTCGTATCTACCATCTCATTTAATCTCCAAGAGGCCCCCGAGAGGCCCGTGTGTTTGGCTGCCAGCAGGACTGTCCTTTAAATCATTCTGGAAGGGAGTTGTTTATTAAACCTTAATGGTTCCAGCAGGGGAGAGCCCATAGTCCCTGTCACCAAACTCGGTTACCTGGGGACAGGATGGGAGGGAGTGGGGGAGGCAGGGTGCAGGTGAAGGGCTGGTGCTGTTTCGGGAACCCAAGATCGTGACACTAAAATGATGCTTGTTACCACTCTCCCCCAGTCCCCAAAGAGTCTGAGAGACCCTGAGATGCCCCAGGGAGGCAGACGGGTCCAACATTCTCCCAGCTGCTGAGCCAAAAGCCACATTGCGTGGCTGGCTGGACTGGAACAGGGTTTCTCACACTGGGCACTGTTGACCTCCCTGACCAGGTCACTCTCTGTCTGGGGGTGGGCTGGGGCTGTTCCGAACTCTGGAGGGTGTTTAGTGACGTCCCCAGCTTCTACCCAGTTGATGCCAGACCATTGCAAGAAACACAAATGTCTCTAGACATTGCCAAATGTGCCCTGGGGAGGGGACAAAATCGCTTCTGATTGTGAGCCCCTTGACTACAAGGACAAAACCACGAGAATATTCTTAATTATAACGGGTGTCTCTGTCCTGTGCCTGTGACCAGGTTATTTCTGGGCCCAGGCTACTGTGTTCGCACCCACCAGCCATTCCTCACGTTTGTGCCTAGCCTGGGGTTTGCAAACCTTTCCTGGGATGCTCAAAGGGGTACTGTCCTGGGCACTGGCCCTGCATGGGCCTCTGGGGGCTGGCAGGGCGGAGTACGGGCAGCTGTGGTCACCAGGGAGCACTGCGGCAGCCCCGTCGCCAGGAGCCTCGTCCCCACTCCGGGCAGGTGTGGTAGCCGAGGCCGGCCCAAAGAGTGGTTGGAATACCTTTTCCAGTGGGAAACCTCGTACCGGGGTGGGGGGCTGCGTCAGGGTGGAGTGGGAGGGGGGAAGAGGCACTGGGCCCACTTCTAAGGTGCCCATGGGAGAGCAAGCCCACGCACCCACCGCCCAGCTCACTGACTGGCCAGGGGGATGCCACCCGGTTTTGGAGAGCTGCTCTGTCGGCCAGGCACCGTACTAGGTGTGTTCCCTATCACAGCAGAATCCATTTGGCATGGCTTTTGGTCACCCCAGCTCTGTGCCAGGCTCTGGGCAGGTGGTGAAGATATAGAAATAAGATTCTGATCCCATCTCTGTCCCCATCTCAGGGAACTCACAGACTAGCAGAGGAGGCAGTGACCAGGCAGGGTCACTGTGGGACCAGATGGGGGCCTTCGCGGTCTGTCTGAGCCATGCTGGGGATGGCATGGGCCTGGGAAACCCTCCGGGAGTAAGTAACGTGGTCTGTGCTGCTTCACAAAGAGGAGCAGAACGTTGGTGTGTCCCGAGAAGCCACCCGGCCCGTTCAGAGCAACCTGCCAGAGCATGGGCACCCTCACAGCAAGTGAGTCCCGGGGGCCAAGAACAAAGGAGCCATCAGATGGGGTGACATCCGTCCAGGTGGTCTTCCTGGAGGAGGTAGTGTGATAAACCGTGCAAATTCAGTGTCTGGCTGGGAGATCTCTGAGCCTTGTTGAGCCAGGCCACTGCAGCCATCGTGCGCAGCCTGCACAACTGTCAGTGGCTGCCCTGCCTATGAGAAACCAGAAGGCACGGAGAACAGAAAAGTGCTTAGCCCAGCAGCTGGCTCCTGACTGTTAATTGAATGCGAGTCCCAGGCAGGAGTTCCCGAGGAGTTGGGGGAGAGGAAGTGCAACCGGGCGGTGTTGGCAGAGCGGCAGGCATCCTCCCCTGCCCGGACCTCGGCGGGGCAGGCAGCGCGCTGCTCCCAGAGCCCTGCGCCATCTCCTCCGCGGGGGGCAGAGGCGGGTTTGACAGATGCCACCTCCTCCGCTCCTGTGCTTCCCCCCACCGGCCCCTTTCACTCCAAGAGCTGCCTCCACGGCGTCCAATCTGCTGGCGTAACAGGGACGGCTTGGGCCGCGTCCGCCAACGGTGAGGGAAGCGGTATTGGGGCAGGGGAGCATCCATCCTGAGCGTAAGGGACAGGCAACCCTCCCATATATCAACATGTGCCAGGGTGAGGGGACATCAGAGTGAGGAAAAAAGGGCACAGTCCCTTCAAAGAGGGCCAGCCTATCGGCTTGTGTATATCTTGCATTATGCAGTGGGAGAGAGGAAATCAATAGAGCTGTCAGCGGTTTAATGCATTCGGCGTTGCAGACGGCCCCGCTCAGGATGCTCCAGACGGATGCCTCAAATTAAAAAACAGGGAGGGGGAGGGGGCCGGGGGGCTGGGAGACGAACACCCTGACAGACCGGAGGGAGAGGAGGGCGAGACTGAGGATCTGGGGAAATTAAAGTCCATAAATCAAGAGGCTCAGAGAGTGTCCTGGGCGAGAATGACAGGAGACCCTTGGCGTCAGCAGTGGCGTCGGGCGGGTTGCGGGTCCCTCTGCCAGGTGGGAGGCCCCAGGGGGAGGCTGGTGACTGGGTGACTGGGTGACGGGCGGCTCTCGCCCAGGCTGGGCCCGCAGGGGAGGGCATGGTGGGCCCCTCGCCTTGCTGGTGTCAGTGCCGGCATGCGGGGCTAGTGTGGGCTAGCCTGGGGTAGGGGAGCAGGATGACATCAGTGATAACCCCCAACCCCCTCCAGAGGTCGGGTCCTCTGGGTCAGGGCAGGCAGGTGGGTTGCGGAGCCTCCATGGGGGCGGCTGCTGCTCCCAGAAGGCTCTGGCCTCTGAAGGCTGGAGCCGCATCCCGGCCCCAGCCCCTGGGCCCCAATACCTGGCCCCACAGAGAGCCCTCTGGCCTCCGCTCAGCTGCCCCTCCCTCCTCTGTCTGTCTGTCTGTCTGCTCCTCTGAGTCTGCGTCCCGCCTGCTGGGCGCCTGCCTCTGCCGCCCTGGCAGTGAGCAGTGTCCAGGGGAGGCCCTGAGTTTGGCGACCCTCGTGTGAGGCCTGAGTGGTCCTGGGCCCCCTCTGTGTCCTGCCCACGCTGGCCGGCCCTGACTTAGGGTGTGGGGACGTGGTACAGAGGCTCGGGAGGGATGTGTTCCGGGGGGAATTGTGAGTCACCTTCCCTCCCCCTGCCTGGGGGCTCGTCTGCCCTTGGGGGATAACGAAGAAGGAAACCAGAACCAGCCTCACATGCCAGGGGCGTCTACTTCCCCCAAACCTGGGCTGTGACCTTCAGCCCCTCTGGGGAAAGGATCCCTGGAGCTCCCTCCTCCCCATCTCCTGCCGGGGCACCCGCTGGCCAAACCCAACAGGTTCAAGGCCGTCTTCCCTGGGCACAGAGCAGGGGGGAGTTGCAGACTTGGAGGGGTCCATGGAAGGTCTCCCACCCTCCCACCCTTCCACACAGGGCAGGGAGCCCACCGAAGGCGGCTGTCTGGATGCCTGACATCCAGAAGGATTGCCCCTCGCCTTCTCGGTCTCAAAGTGGAGAAGGCCACCCAGGCTCAGGCTGGCTCTCTTCTGTCCCGTCCCACCAGCCCTCAGAAGCCCTTTGCTCCCTTATCGCTCCAACCAGCTATGCCTTTAGCTCATCTGCCGCTCAACAGGAGAGACACACTCTGGCTGGCATGTCCAACGCCCAGGTGAGCCCCTGTGCACATCTCCGACACCCAGGCGAACCCACGTGCACGCACAGCCACACACCCACCAGGTATCCAGAGAAACAGGCCTGAGCTTGCATCGTGGTGTTACATCGCCCAGGACAAGTTCTACCAATTAAGCCGGTGCCCGCATCTCCAGAAGCAACTGCCAGCGTGCTGCAACGCCTCCCAAGGCAGGAGATTAAAGAGACTGCTCGCGGCTAGAAGCAGGGACTCGAGGGGTCTGCGGGCTGCATACATTGGAGGCACCACACGCGTGCGTGCAAGCACCTGCCGGCCAGCACATGCACGCTTAGGAGGGTCTGAGGAGGAAACCGGAGTCGGGGGAAGGAGACGCAGGAGGAACGCGGCCACGGAGGCCAACACGGTTTGGGCGGGGCCTGGGTCACTACCCTCACGTCCTTCTCTCTCCTTCCTGCTTTCTGCTCTGGTGCGTGCAAGCAGGAAAAACAATTTGAATTGTGAACCTAGACTCCATCCTGGGGGACAGGGAAGGGGAAGGGAACTGCCACTGGTCTCCGCGTGAGAGGCCTTGGCCACCGCCTCCTCCCGAAGCTCACCAGCAGCCACGTGCTGCCATGTCACAGGAATTGCAAAATCTTTGGAGAAAGAAGGATGGAGGCAGAATGGCCCCAACCAGCGTCCTGCCTGGCTGAATCTTGGGGAGGGGGGTTTCTGCAGGGGGCACGGCTGCTCCCCACTGTCTGGGCCTCTGAGCGATGGCTCTGTTCCCACCTGCCCGACCCTTCCTGCTGTTGGGAGCACCTGGGGGGCCGGCAGAGGCTGTCCCCTTCACTCAGTCGTCCTCCTTCTGCGTAGCCTGTGGCCTCTGGACAGTCAGCCCCAGGGGTTGGAGGGGCAAGGGGACAGGGGGTGGGGTGGAGGTGCAGGGCAGGCTGGACGCTGGCTGGGTCACGCCCCTGCTCCTGCCTGGTCCTCGCCTACCTTCCTGTTCAGAATCCCCGTGTCAGCCCTCGCCTGACATGCTGGTCTGCTATTAATGGAGCAAGACAGATGCCATTGGCTCGTTAATTACAGCAGATGAAGTCTTCAGCCCGGGCTCCTGGGGACGGCAGGGGAGGAGTGGCTGCAGTTTGTTGTCAACACAGCCTTACCCTTGGATTTAGTCCTCTGAGAACAGCGGCCTGGCTGTTGGACTTAGAAGAGGGTCCACGTGTGGCTGGACAATCGGAGGGCAACACGGCCTTACCCTTGGATTTAGTCCTCTGAGAACAGCGGCCTGGCTGCTGGACTAGAAGAGGGTCCATGTGTGGCTGGACAATCGGAGGGCAACACGGCCTTACCCTTGGATTTAGTCTGAGAACAGCGGCCTGGCAGAGGACTTAGAAGAGGGTCCTCGTGTGGCTGACTGGAGACACAGCAGACCTGGGCAGGAAGCCACTGGGGGAGCCGTGAGGGGCCCTGTCCTGTGGGTTCACCATAGAGCAGGGGACAAATGCCACCGCTGTGCCGCGTGCCTACTGTGCGTCAGGCACCACCCCAGCTGCTCCACGAAGACCATCTGCGATCCTCCCCACAGCCCGGAGTTAGCAAGATCACAGCCCCCATTTCACAGCTGAGGCTTCTAAAGCCCAGAAAGGTTAAGTGACTTGCCCAAGGTCACACAGCTAGTAACCGGAGGGCAAGGAAGCCTCATCACCTGAGTGTGGAATTCACCTCGTCACCTCGTTGAATTCCTCAGAGCCTTTTGCCTCCTTCTCCTTGGACCGGCTGGGCCACATGTTCCTGAGAGAAGGCCCCAAACTGTGAGGTGATTCATTTGTTCTACAAATATTTATTAGGCTCCTCTGTGCTAGGATTGGGGACCTAGGGAGGAATAAACACACACTGTCCTCTGGGAGCTCGCCCTGCAGCCTGAGAGAGGGGCTGATCCCCCAGCTCTGCCCCATGAACTGCTCAGCCCCAGCCCCAGCCCCACCACAGTCCCTGCTGAAAGCAGGGATACACTAACATGGCAGACTCCTGGGTTTGGAGCCGAACTCAGAGACTCTCTGGTTTGTGGCCGATTGCCCTGGGATTTCCTGCAGACTAGGGACAAAGGGCACTTATATGGGGGAAGCCACATGGGAGTGTGTAGGCAGAAGTCAGAGTCTAGGTGGCCCCAGAGAGAGAGCAGCTGTTGGATGACTTCCTAGTCCCTGTGACACCCGCTGTACTTTCTGTCCCTTCACCTCTTCCCTTCCCACATCTTTCTGCCTGTCCCCTTCGCTGGTTTGAATTAGTTTCCAAAAATGGAAACTGAATGATCCTTAAGGTAGAAGGGCAAGATGAAAAGACATGCTCAGGGACCTGCAGACAGGGGTGCGGTGGCAAATGTTTAAAATCTAGCTTTCTGCCAAAAAGAAAAAAACAACAAAACCCTTAATCTGTAGCATTTGCCAATTCCTGTGGTGTAAATACTCCCACCCTGGCTGATTTCAAGCTGCCAACGTGATGCCAAGCGTCTTGCAAGACCTGTGAGTATGTAACAGGCAGCTCTCACGAGCCGGGAGCAGCCTGAGCCGGTGCCAGCATGCCACAGCGTCAGGTCATCTGTCACTGCCCAAAGGCAGGAGGCGTGTGGGAGGGCAGGAGAAGAGGCTGGGGAGGTGGATAGAGAGATGACTGGGAATGGTTTGAATGTCACATTTGGGAGTTTGAGCTTTAATATGAAGCGGCAAGAGCCCCGGCCCTGCTCGGGTGACTTTGGGCATATGTGTGAGTCAGCGGCTGTGCCGCTGTTTGCTTTCCTGGTGTGCCCTGACCACCCCTCCGGCTGGTCCCCTGAATAACCTTGGGGGCCTGTTCGGACCCTGGAGTAGACCTGGAGAGGAGCCGCACAGAATGTGAGGTGTATCGTTTTCTAATGGAGAGGGAGAAGACAAGTTCTAGCTCACCCCCAGCCAGCTGCACCGTGGGGCCATCCCTCATCTTAATGAGCTCATCCAAATCTCGTTTGCTAATGAGGAATTTAATGGCCACAGACTGACAAGCGAGACTGAGAGGGGAAACGGGAAGGTCGTTACAAAACTGAAATGTATAGCTAAATGCCACCTCACTTCCATCCCACTTGCCCACCCCTGTGTGCCAGCCCTGGGGGGGGTGCAGCGGGGGAACAGGGACTGGGTTGACCCCACCTCAAGACTGGGCTCCTGATTAAGAGCATCTGTGCTCTTAGTGGGTCAGCACCATGGACAGGGCACAGCGTGGCTCTATGATCCCACAGCCTGGAACGTCCTTTCCTCTCTCCATTTGCTTCCTGCGAGTTTGTTTTTCCAAGATTCGAATGGGACACACCTCCCCTTGCGAGCCTTGCACACAGTCCCAGTGGGTTAGGGCCCACAGAGTTGGCATGGCAACCTTCGCTCAGCATCCTGGCGTGGAGGAAAGGGGCAAGTTAAGGCTGCTGGGTCAGGGCAGCTGGGAGTCCCGGCTGGTGCTCAGGACATAGAGGAGATCAGAGGGCAGTGAGAGCAAACCTGGCCTGCGGGAAACAGCAGTGGGCAGAAACAGGGTAGATCACATCCTGGGTTGTCTTCTCCAATCTTCTTCTCATTGGGAAGGTCTCAGTCAGTCAAGGCTGGCTGCTGGCTTGTTGGGGGTCATCCCAGCAGGCTGGGGCCGGAGAGGCCAGTGCAGGTGAGGGTGGCTCAGGAAGGGACATCTTTCCATGGCCTGGCTCTGGGAATTTGGCGGGGAGAACTCTGATGGAGGGTGTGGTAGGTGAACTCCAAGGACCCACACCCTTGCATAATGCCCTCCCCTTGTGTGCAGGGGGGCCATGTCACTTGTTTCTAGTTAATAGAATGTGGCAAAGATGAAAGAATTTTGCAGATGGCATTAAGGGCCCCAAACAGCCAACTTTAAATCAATCAAAAGGGAGATTACCCTGGGTGGGCCTGGCCTAATCAGGTGAGCGCTCTAAACGACGAACTGGACACCAGAGACTGTCTCTCCTGCCGGCCGTGGAGAAGCAAGCTGCCTGCCGTGAGTCCTGTGGCTGTCGGGAAAAGAATTCCGCCAATGACCATGTGTGCTGGACAAAAGACCCTGAGCCTCCCATGAGGCTCAGCCGACATGGGAGGCCCCGAGTGGAGGCCCCAGGTGAACCATCCCAGGCTGCTGGCCCACGGACGCGGTGAGACAATACAGGTGTGTGGTTCGAAGGCACTGAGTGTGCGGTGTAGTCTGTTACGCAGCAATACAGACTTCACAAGAAGGCCAGATATGCCTTGACTTCCCCCAGTTGGTCTGGCCCTACCGCCTGCCTCTCTCGAGCTGGGAGGTGGGGCTGGGATCGCCGCTCATGGCGATGTGACAATGAGAGAGAAAATTAAAATCCAAGACGGAGCGATTCGAAACTGTAATCTCGGCAAACAGTGGCACTTAGATTTCCCATTATTGATCCCCTCAGCGGATATTTTCCAATCTCGTAATTACAGGAGGACTTTTTCAATTTGGGCAGAATTGCCTCCCCTCCCCTCCGTGCCCCTCCTTTATTTCTTTAAACTCACAATAACACGCGATAGATTGTATGCAGCTGTGGAGGCTAAATAAACAGAGCTAATCATTTTAATTGAAATCTGATCTCAGCAGCAGGAAGGCTCTGCGGTGTGGTGTTCTGCCCCTTATCTCCCTGGAGCAGGGAGCAAATCCCGCCCCTGGCTTGGGACTGCTCAGGGACATTTGCTTCCTGGAGCCGACCCCCTCCCAATTCCGAGGTCCCTGCTGGCTGCCGGGGCTGCTGACCGGTGCTGGCGTTGGGTCAGGCAGGCCTTCCTGGACACAACCTGGCCACTCCGCCAGGGTCCTCCGAGCTCACACTGTCCTTGTGTTGGCCATCGGCATTCTCATCCGCTGACACGGCGATTCTCAGACACTCAGACAGGAGAGGGCAAACTTGTCCCCGTCCCCCAGGAACATGGGGGGACCTTTATGGTCGCTATAACTATTACCTAGCAGGTAGCGGCCAGGGACGCTGCTGAGCATCCCACGCTGCGCAGGACGGCCCCACGACAGACAACGATCGGGCTCAAAATGTCCATCAACAGCGTGGAGGTAGAGAGACCCCGAGCTAACCCAAGTCCTTCCGAAACGCATTCTTTTTGTAGGACGGAAAGAAGATGGATAGGTGGGAGACCTGGAACCAATGAACTTGGATGATGACACTCGTGCACACACATGTGCGTGCACCCACGCACCTCTGCGTCCACGTGTTGGTCCTCCAGGACTCGGTTCAGACGTCACCTCCTCCACGCCGGGGGCTGTGTGATGTGACCCTCCTCTGTGCTCCCGGGGTCCCGCGTGCCTTTGGTTTCCTTAGCATTTATCATCCCCTAATACAATTATCTAGTTTCCAGGCAAAACTCATACTTGATGCCAAAGGTCAGGGCTCAGGACGGTGGTTACCTATGGGGAGGGTGGGGACCGGGAGGGATTTGGGGGCGTCTGGGAGGCTGTCCTGACCTATTTCTCGCTCTGGGAGCTGGTTCACTGTCGTGCTCCCTTTGTGAACATTGGCCACGCTGAGCACTGTGATCTGTGTGCTTTGTGTATGTATTTTATAATTCAATAGTTTATTTTTTATTATTATTATCATTATTTTTTAAGACAGAGGCTCACTCTGTTGCCTGGGCTAGAGTGCTGTGGCATCAGCCTAGCTCACAGCAACCTGGGCTCAAGCAATCCTACTGCCTCAGCCTCCTGAGTAGCTGGGACTACAGGCATGTGCCACCATGCCCGGCTAATTTTTTCTCTCTATTTTTAGTTGGCCAATTAATTTCTTTCCATTTTTAGTAGAGACAGGGTCTCGCTCTTGCTCAGGCTGGTCTTGAACTCCTGACCTTGAGCGATCCTCCCATCTCGGCTTCCCAGAATACTAGGATTATAGGAGTGAGCCACCACGACCGGCCAAAAAGTTTGCTTTAAAAATTACCTGGTTTCTGTTTGGTCCGGACTACTTGCTCATTATTGTCACTCATCCAGGTAAAGACTGTGTCTTGTGTATTTCTGTGTCCTCTGTTGTCTATAATCTTGAGTTGTTTACCCTCTCTGAGTGACAGTTTTCTTCATTTGTAAGGGGATAATAATAATACGTGTCTCACACGGTTTAAACAAAATTTTTTTTTGAGACAGAGTCTTGCTCTGTTGCCTGAGCTAGATTGCCATGGGGTCAGCCTGGCTCACAGCAACCTCAAACTCCTGGGCTTAAGTGATCCTCCTTTCTCGGCCTCCCAGAGGACTAGGATTACAGGAGAGAGCCACCACACAATGCCTAAAATATTTTTGTAATTATATATAATTAATTAGATAATGCCTATCAAGTGGTTACTTAGCGCGGTGCCTGGCATTAAGAGCCTGACCTGCATCATCACTAGGTGCTTAGGTAAGGTTTGTTGAGTGACTCACTGAACGTGCCCCTGCCCTGGCTGCTCAGCACCCTGCTTCCTCAGGCCACTGTCATCCCAGCTTGGTTCAGGCGTGAGCTGACCTGTGTCTCTCCTCCTTCCTCCCTCGCCATCCTCCAAGAGATGCCCTTGGCCACAGCTTCCTGACCCCGATGCTCTGTCCAGAGCACCTCCCTGCCCGCCGGCCAGGCACACGTTAAAGAGAGACTGTCCCATCGAAGTAATTACCACTGCAGGCACCGGGGAGACATTTACCACTCAGTAAAAAACATTTTTCTCTAGCATGCCCATTAAACCCTGGCATTTAACCAGGAACTACAAATCTCAGCCCCAGG